CCACCGGCTGGAGTGCACAGGCTGCTTGCCCCGAGCGCCGTTCCCTCCCCGCGGGGCGCCGTCACGCGTGGGGAGGGACACAGTGTGCCCGCAGCCTCACTCCCCCGCTCCCTCTGGGGGGGCTGGGGCGTACAGACCCGAGCTGAAAGCATGGTGGCCTCCCACTCTCTTCCTCCTGGGGCCCTGACCTGATTATAGCCCCTCACGGGAACCCCCTCCCTCAAGACACTAGATCTTCACCCCTACCCAATCTATCCTTAACCTCTCATATCCTTCCCTCCCAAGGTGCTGGACTATAACAGAAGCCCCAGTTGGAAGACAGGGAGCCCCAAAGGGGCTGCTCTATTCCCTGGCCGCTGCGGACACTGCCCCCTTCCCCCCCTTCAGGTTTCAGGCCAGCCCCTCGGCTCCGCCCCCTCCCTGGACGAAAGCTAGGCGGGACCCACTTGGGATGGGCGAGTGTTCAGACCAATGGGCTGTTAGGGCGATGGAGTGCGGGGGGCGGGGCTGGGTAGAGGCAGAGGGCTGGACCGGGGTCGGGGGCGGAGCTTTAGTTAAGGTGGACTGGGAGAGATCCCGGTTGGAGTGGGGAGAGGGAGAGGGAGAGGGACCGCGGCAGGTGAAAGGAGATAGAGAAGGAAAGAAGAAGGGAAAGGAGGAGGGTGGGAAAGGATCGGGGTGTAAAGTAAGAGCTCGGAGGAAAAGGGCGAAGGAGGAGGGAGGGACCAGTCCGCGTCCTGCAGGGACTGGCTGGACTAAGGGGTTGAAGTTTATGTCCTTATTGGGCGGAGGGAGGGGGGGCCTGGGGGGGCGGGTAAAAAACCAGGAAGTGACAGAGGGTGTTGCTAAGGGTGGGGGGGGGAGTTTGGGGGGTGGCAGGGGGCGGGGGGAGGGAGGGGAGGGATGGGGGGAAAGCAAGCAGGAGGACAGGTGAGACAGCAGGACAGGTGAGGCGGGCCCTGAGGGGGGGGCGGGTGGGAGCCAGGTGAATGTACGGCTCTTGGTGGCCAAGGGGGGGCGGGCGGCAGGAGGAGGCAGAGGGCGGCGGAGGAGGAGCCCCCCAGCAGCGATCGGCGAGCGACTGACCGCGGCCTTCTGACCAGGACCGGAGCAGGGCCCCAAGCCCCCGGGCCTGGCGGGGGACGCGCTTCTCCCTATTCACTGTGCCTCAGCTGCTCCAGCCAGCGGACCCGACGGCCGAGAGGTGAGTGTTCCCCACTTTTGTCTCCTGGCTAGGGGTCTACTAGACTCAAAACTACTGCAGTGTCCTTCGTCCGTCCTGTAAGTGGGACCCCCACATACACTCGCATGTAGATCAGATTCTCATCAGTCCCTTCCCTGGTTTTTGGAATTGGTTTTAACTGGAAAGAAAGAGAAAGAAGGAGCTACGGCCGCCCCCAGCCCTGGGCGGAGGGTCCCCAGAAACTTTGTCTGCACTTCTGAGATCAGACAGACTGTTGGCTACGGGATGGAGAGGAGGTGAGGCGGTGCTGAGCGTTCCCCCAGTTTCCTTCGTGACTTTAGGGGGAGACCCCAGACCCGACTGAATTGAGGGAATGGAAACACTGACGGACTCTAACTAGGACATCGCCCCCCCCCCCGCGCCCCCTGGCGCGGTGGGTTGGACCTGGGCCAGTTGCATGGAGAGTGGGGGGGCTCCGGAGGAGCCGCAGCTTGGGGGAAAGTTACCGGCTGGACTATTCGGTTTCTTGCGCTTCCAGAGCCGCGCTCTCTCTCCAGCAGTAGTAGGGCTCGGCAACAACCTCTGAGCCACCCAGAACGACCCTCTCCCTCGCGCCCCTCAATCACACTCCCTTTAGGCTGCAGTCCCGCCGCCACCTTTTGAAAGCCAGCTCTTGCCCTCAGAACTCGAGAGCGAGGGTAGGTGGGTGACTGGGAAGAATTCTACCTACCTATCTACCACCCGTCTCCCCACCAGCGCTGGCGCACCTGCCCCTACCCGGAGTGGGGGTCGCTACTATGTTGTAGAACCTAGTGTGCGCCTCTGGCCAAGGGGTGTCATTCAAAGGGGTGGGGGGCGCTGCTTTCAATTTCCAGATTTCTCTCCCCTCCTCCCACCCCACCCCAAGTAAGTGAGCGACGTGTCCCGGCCAGAGCGAGGGGGGGCGGGAATGGGGGGGCAGCGTGGGCAGCGGGTTGTGCCCGGACACGTGCCTGCCCAGGCGCCCCGGCCCTGCTAGTGTTTGGAGAGAGGGCGGGTCCCCTGCCCCCCGCCCCGCACAACCCCCATGTATCAAAGGGCGGCTGAGACGTGGTGAGACCTCGGGGCGCCCTGGGGGGCGGGGGGGGGAGGCGGGGAGCCTGGGTCCGGAGCAGGGGAGGGGCAGAGGCGCCGGTGCTAGCTGACCCACAGGAAACGAGCGCTGCTGACCTAGTTTGGGACACCGGAAGTGGGTGCTGGGGAGAGGGGGAGACCGGCAGGCTGTCCTGGCTTCCGGGCCAGGTGGAGGGCGTTCTTGAACTGACCCCCTCCCGAATGCCTCGGAGACCCCTAGCTGCAGCTGGGAATGGGAGTGAGTCAGCGCAGCTATCTCCCCTTCTTCCAACTTATTCCTAGAGGAGGGAGACGTTTATCAGGGGCCGGGGGGAGGAGGGGGGGAGCTGATTGGGCAGTTAGGGGTTAAACCAGGATGGGAACTCTCTGTTCCCTAAGGGAGTGTGTGTGTGTTGTGGGGGGAGGAGTACTGAGGCCTGGAGGATTATGGGGTTGCCTCCTGCTGCCCCACACACACCAACTGGTTTGGTCACCCCTGTACCCTCCTGGCACTGTTGGTAGAGCTGGCATGGAGTGGGCATCAGATTGGGAGACTATATCTGGCATAAGGAGTGATGTGCTGTGCTGGAGAAGGACATATTTGTGACTAGGTTTGGGTGGTAGTTAGTATTACTCCTTAGTGGTAATTGGGGAGAAGGGCAGGGGGCTCCCCCTGGAGCAGCTGATGAAACAAGAAGAAATCTCTGCCTCTTGTCCCTGGCCCCCGGGACCCTGGCTCCCCCAGCGTGCCTCTGTTACATGGTTGCTGTGGGCACGACGCTGTCTTCTGGCACCCTCAGACACTGTCCCCTCCCTTGGGTACCACACCCCCAAGCCTTGGTACAGGGGTCAGGAAGGGGTTAATGCCATCAGAAAAGGGGCTCTGGCATAGAAAAAAGGCAGTGCCCACTAGGCTCAGGTGTCAAGGAGACTAGCCTGCTCAAATGGGGCCCTCTCATCACTACTCAGCCCTGGCAATATGGACCCCAGTTTCTGGGAGACAGGTGCTTCACCTCTTCCCCCTTTCCCTTGGTGCCCCCTGGCACCCAGGGCCCCCAGCTCCTCCTTGGCCTAGTGCCCGCCCTGGGAGGGCGCGGCGGGCAGCGGGGGCTGGGCTAACAATGCACCATCGGGCCCTTTGTGTGCTTGCACTTGGCACCCTGGGGAAGGGTGGGGGAGGGGGCCCCAGCAGGCATGGGGGGGGCGGAGCGCCTCTGGGGTGGGGACAGTAAAGGCTGGGGGAGAAAAGCAGAGAATGAAAGCAGGTGGGGAGGAAAGGGAAGTAGGTCAGATAGGGTGCTGGCCCCCCATTCCAAGCCTAGGCTAAGAGAACCAGTCTTAGATCCTATGGCTGCCTGGATGGCATCATGCTGGTGCCTGAAGCCCAGCCTAGGACTGGACATTTTGGGGTTAGAAGTCACTGCCCAGGGGACTGCTCAAATAGAGAAAGCTTGGCTTGGTACTGCCCCCTTCTTGATGGCTAAGAGACCCAGTTCTCCTGGCCCAAGGCCAGAGTCCCAAGATGGGGAGTGAATGGGTTCCAGGCAGGGCACTGCCCTCTGATAGAAGCCTCTGGGCCTGCTTCAGGGCTTCCTGCCTCCAGCCTGCTTGGCTCTCTGACCTTCCTGAGAGTTAAGACTGCCCTTACCACCCGGCCTTGGGGCTTGTGCCTGTTTTGGCCTAGGGCTGAAAAGGAGGGTGAGGGAAGAAGGTGGGGACAGGCAGACGGATAGGACCCTGGCATGGGGTGTGCCTGCCCTGGCCTCTTCCCCCTCCTTCTGCTGAGTAAACTCGTGAGTAAACTTGACGTTTTGCCCGGACAGTTTGAAGTTGCCTCGCCGCCACCCGCCCCCCACACCCCCCAGTCCTGCCAACACACAAGAGGCCAGGCGCCAAGGCGGGCCTGGGGAACTAGGGGAAGGGGATAGAACTACTGTCATCCAGCATCAAGGACTTGGGGATCAAGAAAGATCCTGCACCCAGCCAACCTCAGGACTTGGCAGGAGTCTTGACTGGGGCCTGTCAGCGTCTGTCTCAGAGCCTTAGGAAGCCCAGAACAAGTGTTCTCAAAGCAGGTCCTCTGCCCACCTCTGACCTCCACCCCCACTAGGGAAAGACACCAGCTGCCATCTGGCCCCCTGAGATGCCATCTTTAATGTTCACAAGCTGCCTGGCTCAGGGGAAAAGCTACCTTTAGTGGATTCCTTAGGGAGGCCAGAGAAAGTTCCCCTCTTCATTCTGTCCCACAGCCAGGGATGGGTGGAAGGCAGGTGGCCTTGGCATCTTAGCCCTCTCCTCTCTGAGGTCTCCCAGCTGCCACAGCCTCTACCCTGCTCCTTCCTTAACTTCACTGTGCTTACCATTAGCCCTGGCCCTGCCCTGGCCCCAATGCTTCCTTTGCCTTCTGGCTTTCCCAGAACCATACCAGCTTTCAGAGCTTCAGCAAATATCCTGGCAAAAGAGGGTTGATGGCAGGCAAACAGAGCCATTGACCTCCATAAATGCATCAGTATGCTGTCACTTGACATCACTAATTCCTCTTATGTCTCCCAGATCACCAGAGTAACAGGGGGGAAATGCCTTCCCAGTCCCTGCCAGGCCTCAGAGTGGGGCTCCCCCAAGCCCTTGCTTTCGACCTCATGTCTCTGGCTTCAGTTTCCTTCCTGTTTCCACCGCCCCCCCCCAGCTCCTCCCCACCCATATGCCCCTTTCAACAGACATCCTCTCCTCCTTCCTTCCTCCTTTCCTCCCCCTTTGCCTGGAGCAGGAGTCCTTTCCCCCCACTGTGGACCTCCTAGCTTCTCAACCTCTTCTTAGACACAGTCCCCTTGGAGATATATGACCAAGTCCTCTGCTCTCCTTACCCTACCAGCCAGGCTCCTGGGAAGTGGAGAACCCAAGGCTTCCCAAGTGAACTACAACTCCCAAGGTACATATAGAGTGACTGTGGTGCACACTGGGAGTTGTAGTCCTTGAGCTCTCAATTTGGCTGAGTCTGGAAATGTTTCTAGATAAGCATAAAAGCCAAGACTGTGATAGATTGCAACATGGGTACCCTCTCCATCTCCCCATTTTATTCTTGTTATTCCATTCCACGTGACACCATGTATCTATGATTGACATTGATCTCCCCAGCTGAGACATGCTACTCATCCTCACCTTAGGGCTCCACCCAAGAGATGCCCACACCCTGCCCTGCTGCCCCTAGCAGGGGTGGACTGAGGGGCCCCATGAACTCCTTCCCTGCCCCCTGCCCTCCAGGCTGGTTCCCTCCCTTTATGGGGATCAAAGGGCAGGGAACAGCCCCACCCCACTCCCTCTCAGACAGCCCGCACTAGACTAGGGCTCTTAGACATTGCAGGGACTTTGGTGCCCAAGCATTTGCTTGGGCAGGGGAATGCCGGGAGGTTGGCGCCTGGTGGCAAGAGAGACACTGGCCCCCACCCTGGGTGTGGAGCCTTCAGTAACTGCTCATGGGGCTGTCCACAGCCTCCCAGGCTCTGTTTGTGTAGGCCCTGACCAGTATGCTGCCTCTTGAGGTGGCAGCCTGAGAACAGGGTCTTGGCCCTTATCTGTAGGGCCTAGGGGCCTGGGCCCGCCTGCCTGGCACCAAGGTGCAGGGGTGACCCTCCCCCACTCCAGGCCCACAGTTGGCATAGGGTGCTGGGAGCAGGGGGGTAGGAGGGAGAGGAGGGCAGGACTGCCAGCATCCTGGTGGGTAGGTGCCAACCGGGCCGGGAGCTGGTGAGGGGCAGCAGGCCAGCGGCATTGAGCCAACAGCTGTTGGGGGGAAAGGGGAGGAGGTACTTTAGGGGGCATTTCTGTGGACCCCCCCCCCCAGCCTAGCAGGACTTGGGATAGTTTAGTGTCTGGAGGATACCAGGGTGTCCCTTATTCCAGGAATAAGAGACCCCAGGAGTTGTTTAAGTAAAACTTTGTGGCCCACCCATCTCGCCTCAGAGCCCTCCTCAGTTGCCCCTCAGGCCCAGGCGGGTCCCACCCAACCGGCCAGGGTGGCAGCAGCTTGCGCAAGGGGTGGGGCTAGGCGCTTCCCAGCAGATGCCCCCTCCTAGCTCCTTCCTCTTTCGATGCCTACAGCTCCCCCCATCTGTCTATCCCCCTCAGGCCAGCTCTGTCCCCCTGGTCCCCCTGGCTACTGGGGGCTGGTATGAGTGCTGCCCCCTGGCCTGGTTGGCAGGGGCTGGCGTCCAAGCGAGGAACTGTGGTATGTGAGTGGGTTTGGGGTGAGGCTATGGGGAGGGCAGGGTGCCGCCTTGCCCAGCCCCTGAGGGCCCCAGCCCAGTACTTGGTAGGGAGAATTCGGACAGCTCCCAGGGGGCCAAGGGCCCACTGGGGTCTGTAGGGCCTCCATATGGTCCCTTGATGCCACATGCCCTGAGGGGCTGAGACCTGGGCACCTGTCACTCCTGGCACTGACTGTCCAGGGTTCCCCTCCTCCCTCTTTGGCCACTGCTGCCTCCTGTCCCCTCCCCTCCCTTCTTCCTTCTCCTGGTCCCACCTCCAGCAGCCTCTCCCATTGCTCCTCCTCACCTCTGTCCTCCTGGACTGTCCTAGCTCCTACCTTTCCTACCCCTCACCTTTTTCCCCTTTTAGGAGTGAGTAAGGACAGGCGGGGGTGGGGACAGCTGGGGCTTCGGGCACCGAAGGCAGAGACTCTGGGCCCTCTCCCACGCTGCCAGCCCTTGGGTAACCCCTCCCTCTAAGCTGGGGGGGAGGGGGACAGCACCCAGAGGGTTAAGGCTGTAGGGGGGAGGGGCTGGGCCAGGTCGTGGGCGGCCCCTTTGAAGGAGGGAGCTGGAGCGGGGAACAGCCACCTTACCTCCCCCCCCAGCCTGGCCCTCCCCCACCCCTCCCAACGTGCTGCCCCCAGGGGCCAGGAGGAGTTGCCGGCAAGGCCCCTCAGCGTTCAGGTGAGTAGGCCCTGCTCTGGCTTGGGAGGTCAGGCCCCAGGGAAGGCTTGGAGGCCTAGAATTGGCCAAGGGTCAGAGAAGGATTGAAAAACAGTCTAGGAAGAGGGTGCCCAGACTTCACTGGAGACTTTGGGGAACTGAGGATCAGAGAGGCTAGAGTGTGGGGAGGCTTCAGAGTGTAAGAGACACGAGAGGACCAGGAGAGGCAGAAGGGGCCTACGGGGGAGCAGAGTGATTGCTGGGCCAGGCCAGGAGGTTGGACAGGCTGGCAGGGAGCCGGGCTCCAGGGATCGGGCTGGGGTGTCCTCTGGGGCTGGGGGGGCTCAGGTTTCTGCCGGCGCGGCTTGGCGGGTGTGGGGTTACCAGGCGGCTCGGTTACCTAGCTGGAGACACTAGACTGGGGGGGAGGGGGGTACAGGGTAGACCCTGGCACCTTTTGCCGTCTCTTCAGGCCTAAAGGGACTTGGTACTACCCAGGCAGACCCTGCTGGGAACCCTGATGACCAGGATCTATCCAAGTGGACAGTTGCCTGGCCCAGGGTGGGCACCCTCCTGGGAAAGTCCAACAGCTCCAGGGCTGGAAACTCTGACGGGCAGAGAGGCACCGGTTGTCCCCCTCACCCCACATCCGCTCTCACTGTACACTCCCCTCTACCACCTGTTCTTTCCAACTGGCCCCCAAATTTTGATCTCCTGCTTCATCCAGAAGGTGGGTGTGGGTACCCCAAATGCAACCATCTCTTGGCAATACCAGGCCTTAGAGCCCTGGTCCTTGATTTCATTCCTCTGCTCCCTCTACCACACACACACCTAGGGAGAAGAGATGATTGCTTGGAGCAGAGGTACAAATGGAGAACATGGGAGAGACTTGAATGACAGAAATGATGAGAAGCAGGAAAGAAAGGAGAGGTAGGGATGATTCCTAGCAAGAGGCCTAGGGCTAGGTGTGGTAGAGATGAGGTGAGGAGCTTGGCACAGGCTGAAGGAAGGAAAGCAAAGAATGAATTTTGTAGAGGGAAGACAAGAGTCAGAGAAGGAAGGGGACAGAAGGAGAAATCCAAGACAAAGGCCAAGAGGTAGGGATGATTCATGGGCAGGAGGTACCCAAAGGTGGTGGTGTGAAAGCTGGGAAAGAGTTGCCCCTATTCCATCCTCCGCCATCTTTCATCTCCCTTCCGTTCCCCTTGATGGGGCTAAGGGACTGTGGGGTAGGACTGGTGTCATGAAAAGAAAATGTGGAGGAGCCCCCACACCAGGATTGGGGGATGGGGGGGCACAGGTTTAACCCCCACAGCACCGGGAAGCAGCCAACTCCCCTCGCCTCCTTCCCCCTTCGTGGCTTGCGGTCTCTCTTCCCCTCCTCGGCCCCCAGGAAGTGTGAGTACTGGGGGTGGTGAGGTTAGGAGGGGGGAAGCTTCACATGGGGGATGGGAAAAACATGCATAAGCTTGGAGGGGCAGGTTAGGGTGGTCTCCATAAGTGCTTTGGCAACCCTGGGCAGAGGACCTCTTCTTTGGACCTCTCCTTCAAAGCCCTTCAATCCTCAAGTAAAGTGCTCAGCGGCTCACCCTGCATCCCCAAGTAGGCAATCCTGATGGCTTTGGCCCCTGGGCCCAGTGGATCTCTGAAAGAGTGGGGAAATAAGGATTCCTGGGTCCCTAAGGACTTTAGCCTGGCTGTCCAGTTTCCCCAACCCCCCTGGTCCAGCCACAGGCCAAAGCCTTGTCTTCGTGCAAACTTAACTCCAAAAAACAGGAAGAGAACCTGAGGCTGGAGTTGGGGGTGGGGGTTGGGGGTAGAAAGGAGAAAGAAGGGGGAGGGGTGGTACCAGGATCATTTGGAAGAGCCTCAGGTCTCTCCATCACCCGAAGCAGGAAGATGTCAGAGTTTGGTCCTCATCCTTCCTCACCCCAAGCTGCTGCCCCAGGAGAAACCTGGCCAGGCCCCTGTCAGGCTCCCTGGCAGAGCCTGGTGGGGGGCGAGGGGGGGCTCCATGTTCCTGTGTCTCAGGCCCATATCTATTTTCTCCGCTGCTAATCCTGGTTCCGCCTGCTGCCCCCCACACTAAGCCTCAGTCCCCTAATCCCCAGGGTTGGGGGGGGCCAGCTTTACTCAGCTGCCCCATTCAGGGCCTCCTATTCCTGCCCTTCAGCTGGCTCAAGCCAGCAGTGTTGGCCTTGGTGCCCCCCAGCCTTGCACTGGACACTGCCTGAGATCAGCACCTGGAAAGAGTTCCAGTCTCTTTTCTCTTTCCAGTACAGGACTCGTGACCTCTACCTTTTAGTTTAGTGATAAACACACCCTGGAAGGTGTCCTTGGGCACCAAGGGGTAGGTTATAGGGTCTCTCATCTTTGCCCCCCTCCCACCTTTCTCACCCTCAAGTCTTCCCCCAACCAAAGATAGGGCAGGCTTGACACAGGGCCCAGTTTCAAGAGAGCTGCCCACTGGCTTGGCCGGTCTAGCAGGCCTGACAGTGAGGGGAGCCTGAGGGGGGTGGCAGGAAAGAGGGGAGCAATGGGGCGGGGCCCCAGTTCTTCCCCCTACCAGGCAAACAGACCAAACAGACCTTGCCTGGTTCCCTGGCACAGCTGCCCCCCCCAACCACCACACACACCCATGCCCACAAGGTCTTAGCAAGAGGGGGCATGCCAGGCTGGGTGGGGATGTGCTGCCTTCATGGGGCGTTGGGGGACTGAGCCTTCTGGGATGCAGAGGTGGGAAGGGTGCCCAAGGTGGGGTGGGCACCCTTGGCACCAGTGCCCCACCCTGGCAGAAAGAAGAGGGAGGCCTCCACTCCACCCACCCCTCCCAGATGATGGGGCTAGGAGTGCCCCCTTGGCCTGGTTGGCACCAGCATGGTTCCAGGTGGCATCTCTGTTGGCATGGGTGCTAGAGCCTTGGGTAAGGGCTGGGGGAGTTTCCCAGAACCTGGAAAGCCATTGAACACCCTGTCCTCCCATGCATGCCTTCTATCTCTCCCATCCTGCCTTGCTACCTCTTGGCCATGGGCATTGGATTTGGGCCTAAGGAGTTAAACACCCACCCTTGCCCAAGCCTGAGTAACTTTGGTGGTGAACCAGCCTCAGCTTGTGACCTGACAGCAGGGTCAACCAATCAGCACCCCAGCCACACCAAGTTGTCATGGAAACCAGCCCTGGGGTGGGAGAAAGGAGAAAAGAGGCGGGCTTAGCAGCAGGAATGGGTGGGGCAGGTAGGGAAGGAGAGAGAGGGAGCCACGTGCCTGCGGGTGCCCAGCTCCCAGCCAATGGACAGACAGGACAGCCCCACCCATTCCCCCCTAGGAAGGACAGATCCACTAGGACCCAGGAGGGTGCCCACTGCTGCTCTTGCTGCCCACCTGGTTTTTGTTTGTTCCTAAGTCCTGGGGCCATTTGCCACTTGGATTTTTTCTAAAGTACAGGAAGGAGAACCAAGGAGGGCGGGAAAAGTAGTGTTCTGAGGACTTAAGGTGGGAACAGGTGGTCTATCTAAAGATACCTAGGAGTGTTTCTAAGCCAAGACTGACATGTGGGTGCTGTTCACTCAGGGCTTCTGTACAGGCCCTGGCATTGTAATGAAGGTGACAAACAGGGAGGCAGACATAGACAATGCAGTTCTTGTGTCCTAAAGAGGAAATTTGTGGCCTTGACTCCCCCCCAAAAAAAAAAAATCAATGGCTAGGGCTGATCAGCTGATAGAGAAGACACTGACAAAATGTCAGTGGGACTTGCCCTTAAGGATCATCTGAGTAGCCTTTAATATTACAGATGAGGACAGGCCTCCTCAGGAAAGGAAGTGACTTGTCCAAGGTCAGGTGCTCCTTAGTAACCTGGCTCCCTGAGGGTGATTTGAGGGAGGGAGGCAGAGGCCATGTGTGCAGTGGAATCTGCCCCCAGGCCAGGCCTAGGCCACACCACTGATTGAGCCCCTTCTGTGTGTCAGGCATTGTGCCACACTTGGTCTCTTTTACCCATCATCACAACCCCAGGAGTCAGCTGGCATTATCCCACATTGTAGAAGAGGAAAGAGGCTCTGAGATAAAAAAAAAAAATCACTTGCTTAAGATCATGAAGCTAAGAATTCAAACTCAAGCCTGGCTGACTCCAAAGCCCAGCTCTTTCCAGACCCAACACTATCTCCTGTTGCTCCAGACCCTCAAAATGTCAGGGCTGAAGGGCTGAGCCCTTTGGGCTTCCATTCCCACCCCTCCTTGCTCCACTGAGGAAAGTGAAAAGAGAAATGACATGCCAAACAAAGGTCATTCTGCAAGGTAGCAGAGCCAGGATTTGCAGCAGCTCTCCCCACTCTAATGTCATAACCCCTGCCCCTCAGCCCTGCAGGGCCAACCTGACTGGGCCCTGGAGGGGGAAGCGTTGAAGTGGAACCATGTCCTCTCGAGAAGGGGTGCTCTCCTGGAATAGGGAGGAAGGTGGTGTAGTAGCTGAGGGGGAAGGGGAGGGGTGGGACTGGAACTTGGCCTATTGGCAGTGGGGGAGGGGGCGGGGGCGATGCTTATCTGTGCGGGGCAGGAAGTACCCGCGCCAATGACACCCCAGCAAAGGGTGGCTGCTCCCTGGCCCCATGGGGGAGGGGAGGATGTATGGGGGAAAGGATGCTGGGAGCTGTTTCCCGTTTGGCCTTTAGGGGAGGGGATCTAGACAGAGAGATGAACTTTTGATGGCTGTGGGAGGGGCCCTAGGAGGAAGAAGATGGTGTTTGGAAGGCCATCTCTTGTTTGCACAGTGTTTTACAGTATAATTACCTGCTTTAGAGAGAGAACCTGGACATGCCTGGCTTCCAGCAGACCTTGTCCAATGTCAGTCTGAACTCCCTTGTTGACCTCTACCTGAGCTACGAGGAGGCTCCATCACAGGCTGTTACCCACATTTCAGAGGACTGAGGCCAGCCAGAGCCACCTGAGTCCTTCAGCCAATTCTTCCTGAAGACTAAAGCAAGACCCAGGTGTCCCACCTCCTGGCCCAGCACTTCTTCTGTAGGAATGGGGATTGGGGCTGGTGAAGTGGATGGAGCTCTAGGAAAGCAGAAAGGCAGGACACCACAGAGGCACAAGAGAAAAGCACAGGGATGAGGGAGCAATGGTGATGAGGATGTAACTGCTGGGCCCACTGCCTAGGCTAGAGCTCCACACTGCACTTCACTTGTAAAGTCGCTGCACCTCGGTTTCCTTGCCTATGAAATGAATGATACCACACTTTGGAAGGGTTTTGGAAGATTAAATGGGTGTAAAGCACTTGGGAGACTGTCTAGCGTTAGCCATCCCCCAATAAATGTTAGTCAGTGTTGGTACCCTTTCCCTAGACTCCCTTGCAAACCTAAGTACTCTTAACTTCCCCTTATTTAACTCTGCAGGAGAAGATGGGGAGCTCTGAGGATGACCTGATTGGAATTCCATTCCCAGACCACAGCAGTGAGCTCCTGAGCTGCCTCAATGAGCAGCGCCAGCTGGGCCACCTATGTGACCTTACCATCCGGACGCAGGGCCTCGAGTACCGCACCCACAGGGCTGTGCTGGCTGCCTGTAGCCACTACTTCAAGAAGCTCTTCACTGAGGGCGGTGGAGGGGCTGTCATGGGGGCAGGGGGTGGCGGGACAGCTGCTGGAGGAGCAGTGGCTGGTGTGTGTGAGCTGGACTTTGTAGGACCAGAGGCACTGGGGGCCCTGCTTGAATTTGCCTATACAGCCACATTGACCACCAGCAGCGCCAACATGCCAGCTGTACTCCAGGCCGCCCGGCTACTGGAGATCCCTTGTGTCATCGCTGCCTGTATGGAGATTCTGCAAGGCAGTGGGCTAGAAGCTCCAAGCCCAGATGAGGATGACTGTGAGCGAGCCCGACAATACCTGGAGGCTTTTGCCACAGCCACAGCCTCAGAAGTTCCCAATGGTGATGATCCACCACAGGTGCCCCTCTTACCACCTCCACCTCCACCACCTCGGCCTGTGGTACGCCGCAGCCGCAAGCCCCGAAAAGGTTTTCTGCAAACCAAGGGAGCCCGAGCGAACCACCTGGTACCTGAGGTGCCTGCAGTGCCCACCCAATCCTCGACCTACGAGGAGGAAGAGGCGGTGGGCCGAGTGGGCAGCAGTGGGGGCAGTGGGTTGGGGGACAGCTACAGCCCTCCCACAGGGACTGCCTCACCTCCTGAGCACCCGCTGGGCTATGAGCCCTATGAAGGTGAGGAAGAAGAAGAGGAGCTCGTATATCCTCCAGCCTATGGGCTGGCACAGGGCAGTGGGCCCCCACTGTCTCCAGAGGAGCTGGGCTCAGATGAGGATGCCATTGATCCTGACCTGATGGCCTACCTAAGTTCCCTGCATCAGGATGCCTTGGCACCAGGCCTGGATGGCCAAGACAAGCTGGTGCGTAAACGCCGCTCCCAGATGCCCCAGGAGTGCCCAGTCTGCCACAAGATAATCCACGGGGCTGGCAAACTGCCCCGCCACATGAGGACCCATACAGGCGAGAAGCCCTTTGCCTGTGAGGTCTGCGGTGTGCGATTCACCAGGTGAGTGCTAAGTAGGGAAGGGGACCTGCATGGGCTGGGAGTGGGGTATGAGATCTGAGTGTAGAAAGATGGTTCTAGAGAGGCTAGCGCATATGTGGGTTTCTGGAGTGCCAGGAGGGACCAGGAGAAAGAAGCCAAGAGAGTGGTCAGGAAGGATCTGGGGCTCCAAGCTAGCTGGAGGCAAGTCATCCTGGGGCAATAATGAGGGATGGGAGTAGGTCCCCGCCCAGGAGCATGACTGGGATTGGCCAGGGATTCCATCATCAACACCTCCTTTTACCCCTGCCTGTATCAGGAATGATAAGCTGAAGATCCACATGCGGAAGCACACAGGAGAGCGCCCCTACTCGTGCTCACACTGCCCAGCCCGCTTCCTGCATAGCTACGACCTCAAGAACCACATGCACCTGCACACGGGGGACCGGCCCTATGAGTGCCACCTGTGCCACAAGGCTTTCGCCAAGGAGGACCACCTGCAGCGTCACCTCAAGGGCCAGAACTGCCTGGAGGTCCGCACCCGGAGGCGCCGCAAGGACGATGCGCCACCTCACTACCCACCGCCCTCCACCGCCACCCCTTCCCCTGCTGGCCTCGACCTCTCCAATGGCCACCTGGACACCTTCCGCCTCTCTCTGGCTCGATTCTGGGAGCCATCAGCTCCCACAGGACCCCCGGTGTCCACCCCGGGGGCCCCTGATGAGGAGGAGGAAGAGGGGACACCGACCACACCCCAAGCTGAAGGTGCCATGGAGACCTCTTAAAGAGGGATGAGTGGCCAGACTCGAGCACAAGGCCAGCAGCACAAGGCCGGGGACACCCATGCCAAGCAATGGGAGCACACCGGGCAGGCAGAGCTGGGGGGAGGGTGGCACTGAGTCTTGTTGGCGTCAGAATCAGCCCCTTCTCCCCACAGCCCTCATTCCACTTCTAAGCTGATGTTTTGGGGCACAGGCTCCCCAGATTGGGGTGATCACCCGAGAATGATACATATGATAGTATGTATATATTTACAGCTCTATTGTAAAGGTGGGATCCCTGTCCCCAGCTGCTCCTGGGGAGTAGAAGCAATAATGTATTTCAGATTTGTGGGGTTCCACTTCGGCTATGCGGGTTTCTAGGGGCCTGGGGCTTGGGACCAAAGCCTTGCCCCACTCCCATGCCCCCTGGGGTTTGGGCTGTGTAAGGGGGTGAAGGACTGCCCCACCCTTTCAAGACCCCTCCTTCCTGGTTTCTGTTCCTTTTTCCTGGCAGTGAATTATGCAAAGGGGGGGGGTGGCAAAGGAAGGGTAGGTAGGGGGAAGTAAGGTGAAAGCTTGAAAATCTGGGGGACTGGGCCTGTAAGGACGGAGCCATCCCAGTCCCCCTCCGCCCTGCTCCAGCGCTGAGTCATGGGGTCCTGGAGAAGAAGGGGGCGGGGTGGCCTGATTGGCTCGCCCGCCCCTGGGGGCAGCAGGAGGAGCCCCGCCCAGCTAGGGGAGCGCTCGCTCCACTCCCCTCCCTGCCCCTCCCCTCCTGCGTCCCCAGGCAGGGAATGTCTTGTTCCCGCCGCTCCCTCCCCAGGGCCAGAGGGCAGGGCGGGCCGGGCTGCGTCTTACCCTTTTCTCCCCACCTCCTCCCCTCCCAGGTGCGAGCCGGGAGCCGCCGCCACCGCTGCCGCCCCTGACTCACGCCGCCCCCGGGCTGGCGGGCGCTGGGTGTGGGACAGGGTGAGGGGTTGGGGGAACCTTGCGGGGAGCGGGCGAGCCGGCGCCATCTGGTGGCCATGCCCTGCGCGGGCGAGCGCCTCCGGTGGCCGCCTGGAGCGAGCTGGCTTCACGCACCCCAACCACCCTGGCCGGTGAGCTGGCGCCCCCTTACCACGGTGGTAGGCAAGCAACTCGCTTGCCGCTGGGAAAGTGAGCTGCGGACCTGTGAGAAAGGGATCCGTTTCTTGGGTCCTTGTCTGTCACTCTTCTAGGATTGAATCCACCCCATTCTGTACATAGCCTCTTCTGTTGGTCTTGTTGAAATCTAGTTTCAGATTTTTAACTACCCAATTCTGCTGGGTGGGGAGACTCTTACCCCCAACCCCTTCCTCGCTGGGTGCTGGACCCCCATTGCGGCCTGGGCTCTGCCTTGCACTATTTCCCTTCCTTGGCCTGGCGGCCCCTCCTTAAAAGGGGCAGGTTCAGGGGCCCGGTGCTCTCCTTCCCTCCCATGCGCCCCCATGCCCATTTGCACAGCTGCCCAGGTACCCCCAACAGTGGGGAGGGGGTCACAGGGAGAGGGTAGCGGGACCAGTCCCTGTATCTATTTAAAAAGTGATGATGTAATATATTTGGGGAGGGGAGGTCGGGTGCTCTGGGCCTCATCTTAGCATTTCAGGTGATGGGGGAGTCCAGGACTGGGGAGACCTGGGGCTTAGCCCCAGAGAGTGGGGACAGTGTGGCCTCCCCTCTCCCTACTGTGGCTTTCCCAGTCAGTGCCTTAGTGGGGGAGGCATTCCCTCCTCTCCTGTTCCCTTCCTCTACCCCTGCCCCCCTCGGGTGTAAGCGACAGGACGAAATAATAATAATTTAAGATTCACACTTGTGTCCGCTTTTGGTTCCTTTATTTTTTGGGTAGATGGGAAGGATCAAAAGGGGAGAAAGGTGAGAGACAGAGGGCCCTGGGGTTCCAAGGCTGGGGAGGGGGGCTTCTTTGGGGGCAGAGGATTTCTTAGGTGGTCAGTTGGGTTCAGGGGGCAAGGGAATGTGGACAGATTGATGGGCTTCTGGAAGGAGCTACTGTGACTGCTTCCTTTGCAGAGGCTCTTGCTCATCCAGGTCACTAGGGAGGAGAGGAAAAGGGTGGCCCTGTCTCCCATGTTGTTTTCACAGGTGCCTGCCTATCCCCGCCCCATCTATTCATGTTCAGCTCCTGGTACTTACCAGCCACTTCTGCTGTCCCAGCCCATGGGCCTACATGAGCCCATCTATGGCTGTAGATAGCTTCTGATTTCAGGCTGGTGTTGAGAGATGGGTAGGCAGTGACTTGCCCAAGGCCATGTAGCCAGCCAATAAGGACAGAACTACCACAATCTTAGTAATCAGCCCTGCTCAAGCCTCAGCTGCACTCCTGTTGACCCAGCTTTTAACTGCATTGGGCCCTCTGGAACCTTTCAAAGAAAACTTGGCCTCCCCTTCAACCTCTGTGTTCATCGAAACCTCACTCACCCTGTTCACACTGGAATGTGCTCACTGGAGAGTTTTCTTTACAGTCCTCCCAAGTGCAGGCAGCTTATCCTTCTCAAGCCCAGCTGGCCCATAGTGTTTTCTGCAAAGCCCCTGGCTGTCATAGCAGCTATATCAGTGGCACCGTGATGGGCAGTCCTCTCAGACACCTTACCATATTCATTTAGGATGGCAGCACTGAACGTTGACTGCGTGTGTGGTCCACCATCTTTCTCATGGGAGGACCCATGAGAAAGGACTCTGGCCTTCCAGTCCTTAACTTGGCTCTGCTGACCTTCACCTCCACTCCCACTCAGACGTCTTCATCCTTAGCTGCTCACAAGATTTGTCCCAGAGTTCTTCCCTGGCCACTCTCTGAACCCCTCCTGTCCTTCCAGCTCTCTCCCTCCTGATCAATGCCTCTGTTCTAACACCTCATCAGGACACTACCTAGACTGCCTGTCCCCTGGGACTTCAGCTCCTTGTCTTCAAAGCCAGTCATCTCAAGAATTCTTACTAAAGACATTCCGCCTCTCTTCCCCACCTTGGCTTTCTCCTTATCTGCCCAGAAAGTCTTCAACCCTTGAATCCTATTCATGACTACCACATTTGCCAGAGAAAACCACACAACCAAGCACACTGGAGCAGTCATTACAGGCTATGGTTTTTGACATCACCTGGGCCTTTAACTCTACCTGGAAATCCCTCAGCCTCCCCAGTCAGCTTCTTTGCACACTCCCCAAGGCAGATATTTCAGTTGCCACCACCTACTTGAAATCTTATGCCACTCCCAACCACACCCTTTGCTCTCTCAGCAGGTGCCCTTGTCTCCACCTCCCCAAAGAAAAGTGAGGCCACCAGGCTGGAGCAGGCTCAACTCTGTTCAGAGAGACTTCCACTCTCCCCACCTGTCTCAGCCAACCTTGCTCCTGTCTTAAGGCAAGGACTCGAGCGCATCCCTCCCTCTTCAATACTCTTTTCTTTTTTACTTCCTAAATGCACAGATCTCCCTGTAATTGGATATAGAAACATCCACTGGTACTGGCTCCCTTGAGCATGCTAGACAAGTGCTCTAACAATGAACCACATTCCCAGCCATGAAGCTAACTTTTACCATCAAGCTTCCTGTTTTTGAGCTGAGCATGGGGACGCATAACTGTCATTCCAGCACTTGGGAGGCTGAGGCAGGAGGATCCTGAGTTTAAGGTCAAGTTAGGCTACATAGTGGGACCCTGTCTCAAAAAGGAAAAAAAAAAAAAAGTCTCCTGTCTTTAACTATAATGGTTATATTAAAGGAATTCTCAAACTTCTGGTTTGAGACAGTGATACAGGAGGTACATGCCATTTCTGAGTCCTCTCTCTCAGTCACTCCTTAACCAATCATGGTCTGATTTTGACCTTTCCAACATCATGAAAAATGTTTCCACCAGCTACACCAATGATCTCTCAGCTATAGATTGATTGGCAGGTCTTCAGTCCCCAGCCCACTTGGTCACCTCACAGTCTTTCATGCACTTGGCTCTCCTGCATTCATTCATTCTTTCTTTCTTTATATTTATTTATTTCTGTACTGGGTTTTGAACTCATGGCCTGGCACTTGCTAGACAGGTGCTCTACCACTTGAGCCATACCTCTAGCTCTCTCCTGCTTTCTTGAGCCATTTTCTTAGATTTGTGATTGAGCTCCTCAAGGTTATGTCCCTGACCCCTTCTCTCTTGTCATACCCTTCCATCCCGCCAAGATGGTCATGTCAGGATGGTCAAGCTCATCCCTTCTTAATCTATATGTCAACATCCCCAAAAGAGAGCCTTCCAGCCCAGAGCCCTGCTGGGGCAGCTTTCCAGCTGGATGCCCTACAGACATCTCAAACTGGACCAGTCCTCTTTCCCCAGAGCCTGTTTCTCCTCCTGCCCTAATACCTGCCCAAGTCCAAGCATAAATCCCACTCACTGCTGGCACCTTGATCCTCAGGCCATCACCACCAACTTGTGCTGGACGCTTCTGCTCTGCTTCTTAGCTTATGTTCTTTCAGTAATTTTCTTTTTTCTTTTTCTACTTTTTTTTTTTTTTGGTAGCACTGAGGATTGAACCCAGGGCTTTGCACAGTCAAAATATGTACTCTACCACCGAGCCACATCCCCCAGTCCTTAGCTTATGATCTTAAAAGACAAATATGACCATATCACTTAGCAACATGAGATCTTCAAATGGTCCTTGTCTGTCCTTCCCCACCTTGACTTTCAGCCTCATCTCCCAACATTCTCAGAGGTCCCCACCCCAACACATGTACACAAACTCCCTGGTAAGGTTTTATTTACCCTCCTGAATGTTTCACATTCTCTAAATTCACACATGCATGTTTTCCTCACTTAGCCTAACAAACCACCAGCTTGCCCCAAAGCCCAGCTCATTTTGCCTTTTCTGCGAAGCATTCGTCAACATATCCCCACCCTAGTAGTGTCTGTCACTCCTTTGTCAGAGTGCTCTCCACAGTTATCTGTGTGATGTCTCTCTCCCCATCACACAGTGAACTCCCGCAGGCAGGGGAGTAGAAGGCAGAGCAGGCACTCAGTTACCACCCCTTCTCCAGTCCTAGCAGAGGTTCAGACACCAAGGAAGTCCACTGTAAATATGACAGAACACGCTCCCAATACCCAGGTGCCAGCTTCCTGCTCACCTGGACTCAGAGCTTGACTTCTCAGAGAGGCTCCTGCCCAGTGCTTCTTGCAAATGTTGCTGCAGTATTGGCTCCTGCTCAGGGGCCCTTCTTGGAGCTGCAGCCAGCCAAAGCGGGGGACCCTCCTCATCGCTAGAGTCCCTGAAGAAGCCTCCCATCTCAGTGTCCCACAGATGTCCTTGGGGGAAGGGTGACTCTCCCACTGTCCCCAGACTCCAGCCTCCCACATCATTGAAAAACTCACAGCTCCAGGTCCTGTTCCCCCTGGAAGGAGAGGGGAGATGCACACAGGGGGCAGGTGTTGTCCAGGAGGCGGAAGCAGGTGTGACAGTAGAGACCTGGAGGAGGCCAGGAAGGGAAGTGAAGCTGAGCTTACCCACCCATCCCTGTACTTCCTGGTTTCCAGCCCCTGCCTCCCTGGCATAGAACATATATAGTAATGAAGGGGATACAAAAGAGAAGTCCATAAAGGACCACAGCTGATTATCATATGCAGATACGGCAGGTCAGGGAGAGGCACACTCCACTGGGGTCTCACCTCGGCAGCCTGGTGTACAACAGGACACAAAGCTCCCCGTGTCTCCTTCATCTTCAGGCTGTCCACAGCCTAGGCAGTGGGCCTGATGTAGTTGAAACTGGCTGAGAAACGGACTTAGGCAAGGGCACCTAAGAAGAGGGGTCAGAAGTTCAGCTAACCCAACCCTTTCCATCCTAACCCAACCTCCAAAATGATAGGGAGGTCTTCCTACAGTCTAACCTCCATCCCTCCCTACTGCAGACTTCTCTATTGCTATGGCCCTGTACTCCTTCCTCTCTCCCTTCACTCACCACTCCTAAGAATTCTCACGTAATTCTTCCCCTCAAGGCACAAAAGGCATGGAATGGGCACCCTCTTCAGTCAAACTTCTTGTCACTTGGGAATGACAGTGATCCATTCTGACCTCTGGCTCTTTTTCCGCAAACTCTTAACTCCACCCCAAAGGGAAGTGCAGTGAACTCACCTGATGGCCAGCAGCTGGAGGACACTCATGTGGTCCTCGTCAGCTGCCCGCCGCCTCACTGCTCTGTGCATCGTGGCCAACAGGTTTGTTCGGCGGCTCAAAAGTATGTTGTAGAGGTAAGAGATCCTTTCCTGATGGGGGAGACCAGGGATGGGGGTCTTATTTGATCCTTTTTCCTTTTTTTTCTTCCTTCCTTCCTTCCTTCCTTGTGGTACTTGGGGGGGGGTGTTTGAATTCAGGGCCTTGAGTTTGGTAGGCAGGCATTCTACATGCCTTCAGCCCTTTTTGCTTCAGTTATATTTTAGATGGGTCTCACACTGGGCCAGCCTCAGAGTGTGATCCTCCTACCAATGTCTACCAGTCTACCAAGTAGCTGGGATCATAGGCATACATCACCACACCCAGCCTGTTTGTTGGTGTCTCACTAATTTTTTGCTGTGGGACTAGCCTCCAACCATGATCCTCTTGATCTCCACCTCCCCAGTAGATGGGATTACAGACATGAGCCACCAAACCCAGCTTTTTTTTTTTGAGACAGGTTCTTGCCATGTAGCCCAGGTTGGCCTTGAATTCTCAGTCCTCCTGCCTCTGCCTCCAGAGTGCTGGGATTATAGGGGTGCTTTACCACACCCAGCTTGATCCTGTTTCATCTGCCTGGCATGTCCTCTGCAGCCACGTCCACTTCTGCCTTTACCTTCAGTCTAACTCCTATGAATCCCTCTAGGCCTGGCTCAAATGCCTCTTCCTCCAAGAAGGCTTGGGACCTCCCCAGTTGGAATTACCCACTCCCTCCTCTGGCTCTCCATGGCCCTTTCTTCATCTCTTAATAAAAGCTCTTTTTAAATGATAATGTCTCACTAAAAACCTGTCTGGCCAGCCTTGAGACTGAGCTCCACACTGGTCCATCTTGGCCCCCTGGAGACCAGCCCCATGCCTGGCACACAGCAGATGCTCTGTAAATGGGTCTTCACCTGCTCCCGGGATGGGTAGTAGGAGGCGCAGATGACCCGCCGCAGCCGGCTGACATAGTTGCCAAACAACGTGACAAAGAAGTACAGGCCATACATGGCACCTGGGAACACAGCAGGCACAGTGAGCACTGACTGTGGCACTGGACACCAGCCACAGCCTGAGCCCTCCGTTCGCCAAGGTGGTGAGTACCAATGACCACGTAACCAGCGCTGTCTGGTTCTGAGGGACGCAGGGCGCAGTGCTGGGACAAGATACTGATGTTGCCTTGTTGTAGGATATCGAATGCTGACACCAGGTCGCGGTAAATATTCCCCGCATAGCCAGTCCCTTCCACGGTTATAGACACTAACACAGGGCCTGGCACAAAGATACTGTGTGAGGGACACTCATCGCAGTGGCCCACTCTGCTGTGCAGGACAGCACCCATCTTCTGCAGGGCAGAGAGTGGAACCAACCATGTGGTAGGCATGGTCCACACCTTTAGCCAGGGCCTTTGATGCCCAAGCACCCTCGAGGCCTAAGGCCTCGTCCATGCGCAAGCTGGGTGGTACTGGTATCTGGTCTGCCCACCCGATCTGAGATGACCTTATGGTCATCTCAGACCCACACACCCTCCTCCATGACCATCCAGAAGTATTTAGATTGGTTTGTTTGTTTTTGAGACAGAGCCTAGATATATAGTCCAGGCTGACCTGGAACTGGCTATGTATGGCTTCAAACTCGTGATTCTCCTATTTCAACTTCCCCATTGCTGGAATTACAGGTGTGTACCACCACGCCTGGCTAGAAGCATGAGCACTGAAGCATTGGCTAAGTGCTGACTGTGTAGAGGCGATGGGCTAAGTGCTTTATTTTCTGCTTTAGGTTTGGGCTTTTCTCCTTCTTTCCTCCCTTCCTTCTTTTCATTTGACTGTGGAGCAAACATTCAGATTTGAGATGTGGCACCGTCTCAATCATTAGTCTAGCAGGTGCTCAACACACTTAGCCTCATGTATTGTTTCCAGTGACTCAGAGTCACCATTACTACCTCATTGTTCAGATGAGCAAACCAAAACTCTGAGAGGCTAGCAACTTGATTACAATCACTGCCTGAGCCAGGCGCCTGTGGCTTACACCTATAATCCTAGCTACTCAGGAGGATTGCAGCAAAGTCAGCTCCAGGCAAATATTTATCAAGACCCTGTCCAGAAAAAAACCCATCACAAAAAAAAGGGCCAATGAAATGGCTCAAGGTGTAGGCCCTGAGTCCAAACCCCAGTCTGCAAATTAATTAATTAATTAATTAATTAAATAAAATCATTGTCTGATAAAGGACAAGACTGGGCTTGAACCCAGTCTAGTCTGACTTAGAACTTGTGTGTTTAGCTACTCTGTTTTGTTATGACCTTGACCTGCCTCTAGGAGGCAGAGGCTAGAACTGGAAGAGAGAGAGTAGCAGGTAGTCAGTCCCCCAGGACAAGGGTGGGAAAGAGGAGAAGGTTCTAAGGAGGAGAACCAACCAGCAGGAGGGCTTCCTGTGGGTACATGGGAGGAGGTGCAGGCACTCACTGCGGGCCACAATCTCCCCCTGCAGCTGGTACCGGGCCAGGTCGAGCACCCAGAAGACAGCATAGTCCAGAAAGACCAGGAGAAACACGAGGAGGAGGTGGCGAGCAAGGTTGAAGGTTTCCATTATGTAAAAAATCTGCTCCCAGCGGGACAGGAAGATGGATCCTGAGAGGGTGGGTGGTCAGGAGAATGCTCCCCAATTCTCCCACTCACCAGACTCCAGCTCCATGGGAGGTCCCCTGCTCCCAAGGAACCTGGGCCTGTCCACTCATCGCTAAGGAAAGAGGCTGTGAGGACCTTTGGGCAGGGACAGGAAACAGTGGTTCAGGAGGCAAAAGATGCAGGCCTTGCAGTTTCATCTGGGCCCAGTGGCCCATCCCACGCTCCAGGACCTCTCCTTCCTGGGCACCCCTTCTCCCTCACTTGGCTCCCACCATCTAGACAATCCTCCCACCATCTAGGCAATCCTCCTCTCCAGCTTCACCTCCCTCACGGGAGCGCCATGTGCTCCCTTCCCTCTCTGCTGTGGTCTCGAAGGTGTATACTTTCCCCTTTCAGACTGAGGGCTCCCCAAGGTCCTCAGCCTCCCCAAGGCTATGTCTGCCCCCAGTCTGATGTTTCCTTAAGTCCCAGTTGTCTCTGGACCTGCCACCAGCCTTAGCCCAGGTTTTGCTTGAGACTTGGGGTTAGGGCTGTGGGGTTAGGGGAGGCCTGGCCTCCTTGATAGCCCTCTCTCCAGACCTCAGGGCCCTCACCTGGCCGAATATAGTGTCTGGCCTCGTGAGCACTGAGTGGCAGCACTGTGGGCAATCCTGCCATGGAACGGATGGCCTCCATGTGCAGGAAACGGCTGGTGATGTAGATATTGTCAAAACTGTCCCAGTTCAGGTAACAGTACCGGTAAATCAGGGCCCTAGGGCATTAGAGTGCACATAAGACATCAGAGTGCACCCTTGACCGGACCCACCAGGCCCCTTCTGCCTCCCAGGATGCCATGGACCATGGACAGGCTGGTCCCATAGCCTGGCTCTCCCTGCAGGCCCCATCAGCCCCTCACTGGAGGTAGAGAAGTATCAGGAACAGAGGCGTGGTGTAGCCCATCAGAGCCAGGACCTCTCGGGTGCGGTGCAGCTTCAAGCTGATGGCCTCATGGAGGTCCAAAGCTACTTGGGACAGGCTCCGAGAGGCATTGAGATCAACAGAGAAGTAGTGGGTGGCTGTCATGTTGAACTCGAACTCCTGACGCACCCGGTTAAGCAGCTTCATCACGGCTAATAAGAATGGGTCCAGGGAGACGGAAGCAAGAAAAGTTAGGATAGCAGAGCTGCACAGGAGACTGTACCAGCCCAGAGGTCGCACAGCTCACAGACCAGCCAGAACCCCCAGGGCTTGGACCTACCCTGGATTGGGAAGGGGCGAAGACCCATGTATCTGTGCCATCCCCTCCACATGCTCCACACCCAGCACTACGCCCAGCCTAAGGAACAGGCTCCATAACCACTTGCACTTAGGGCGGGAGGTCATGGGCCTGCTCCCAGTTCATGCCCTACAGTCTGACTTTGGTGAGTCACCTCCCCTTCTCTGGGCCTCAGTTTCCCAGTCTACCCTCATAGATATTGGATAACCTCTCAAGATCCTTTCCTGTTCTTCCATTTTCATGTAAGGACTGGGAGGCTGGGGCTAGCAGTAGCCACACCAAGATGAGGAGAACGTCGTGTGGCAGGGGCCAGAAGGGGGTCACTCACGGGTGCCAATGGTCTTGCGCAAGAAGGGTTGGATGTAGTTGGGTATGATGCAAAACACCTGGACCACTGAGAATCAGTGGAGCTGAACGTCAGGAGGAGGAGCAGAGACATGGCCTGCCCTACCCACCTCTGGGGACCCTGATCTTATAGACCTTATGGGTTTTCAGCTTTCCCTATTGGCCTCTGCATTTGCTCAAAACCTTTCAGACCCCACCCCCAGCATTGGTCCCTCCCTATTACCCCACCCCCATTCGGAGCCCAGCACCCTTATGGGTTCCACATTCGTTGCACCCATATTTATCCCCCTGGGCCCACCCTGCTGACTGATGCCTAAATTCTCGCCCACACTCTGGCCCCATATTCAATCCTCTCTGCTGGGGAGCCCCTGGCTTTCTCACAGCTGGCAAGTCCACAGAGCACCAATTTGAAGGGCATGAGCACGAAACACAAGTGGTTGGTGTGTGGCATGAACTTCATACAGCTGTCCTTAGCGTCATCAAAAACCCGTGCACACTTCATATAAGGGTTCCCCAGCTCCGAGTTGCACACGTCACCAATGTGGAGGAGCCAGTACCACACATTCCGCAGGACCCTGGCTGGGGACAACCATGGGGTTGGTACCCAGGGTGAGAGTCCCCCAGCCTCACTCAGGGACTTGGAGGAACACCACCCAGTACCCAGAGCTTTCTAGAGGCTTGTGGTCAGAGGCCAGGTGTGCTCAATTCAGCGGACAAGAGTCAGCACCCAGGAGGACCTGAGCAAGCCTGGACAAGAGCAAGGGTGAAGAGACCGGGGGCATTTTGACCTCCAAAAACAGACAGACGTGCTCATATACTCACCTACATGCTTCACGCCTTCCATGATTGACCGGAAAAACTTGCGGACCCGGTCAGCCACCACTTTGGCCCTCTGGGCAATAGCTTTAATCTTGCTCAGGGCACCTGAGGGACAGGGGGCAGCAGCACTGTGGGGCCCTTCCTGTAGGAGCCAGTTTTCCCCACTGCCCCTGGGATAGGCGGTGGAGGGTATCCCCACTCGCCACTGAGAGCTGAGGATGCTGGGTGCAGGGTTCTGGGAACTGGTTATTTGGGCAGTGGAAGAAGCCAGAGAACAAGGGTAAGAAGGTTTAGCTGGGCCCAGAAGTCTCTTTTCTGGCTCAGGGGCTTTGAGGTTAGCACAGTTTCAAGAGAGGAATGAGGCTGAAGGACATGTAGAGGATGAGGGAAACACGGGAACCAGGGGTGACAGGAATGGGGGAGCTTACTGACAAGGGGCTGCCTGGCCCGCTCCAGTACTTCCGCAGTCTGGTTCAAGGCCAGCTCTGCCCCACAGGCCACAGCCTCACTGGCCCGGGTAAAGTTGCGCAGGGTGTTAGCACAAGGTCCCTGTAGCACCAACCCAAAGGCAGCCACCAACAGCAGTGTTCGGCCCTGCTCTGGGGGAGAGAATGCCATCACAGCCAGGACCCCATCCCAAAGATAGTGTCAAGTCCCTTACATAAGCCTTCCGAACACTTCCCTCAACGCCCCTCCCCCCACTCCCATGGGGTGCCAGGCTCACTGGAGAAGGCCTGGGGTAGCAGCAGGAAGACAGTTGTTCGGACCTGGCGGGAGAATGCCATGCCCAGGCTGAGGAAGGCAGCCAAGGTGAGGGTACCAACCAGGCAGGCCCATGGGCTGTGCCCCTCCACCAGGAGCTCCATAAGCCCGTAGGCCATGGCCAAGGACAAGCCCAGCGTAAAGCCACCTATGCTGCGAACAGTAGCCCGGGCCATGCTGGGCTCCTTCTCCCCCAAAAGCCACACAGCATCCATCATGCCTTTGAACATGGCTGTTGGGACCAAAAGCCTGCCGGTCTCCAGGGGATGCCCCCTGGGTTCTGTGGTCCTGGAATTCCACACCTTGTTCTAAGGTTCCAGAGGCTTGTACTGCATGTGTCTCGGAATTCTTTACCCAGTTCCCAGAACTGAGGTCTTCTCACAGACCTCAGATGTGGGCTGTGAGCCGAGAGGGAGGCAGAGGTTCACCAGACCTCACGTCCAAGGACATCTTGAAGGGCTTGTGCACTAGAGGGCCTTCCCCAGAACACACTCATGGACTTTCCACATCATCAGAATGGAACAAGCGGGCAAAGACGGAAACCCCCACACACAAGTGAGCCAGTCCCCAAAGACCTCACCCTTCCCAGTGTCCTCCAGCCTCCCCTCATTCCATCTCTCCTTTAGTAATTCTCCTACCCTTCCACACACACACCCATCTTGGGGTTCCCCAGACCCCAACCCTTCTGTCCAGTGCCTTTCTCCAGCCCAACGCTTTCCTCTTTTCTCCTACTCATGCCCTACTTCTCCAGGGTCCCTTTTCCTCCTCCAGAGCTCCCCAAGTTCCTGCCACTCTCTGTCCTCCCAGCGTCTGTCCCTAACCCTAACGAGCCCCATCCCAGACAGAAGAGGGGGCTGTGGCTGACATGTCCCACTTCTCAGCGGTGCAGAAGTTCCTGAACTGGGGGCTGCCTGACTCCTGTCATCGGTTCCTGTGGCGCCAGCCAGGAGAATTCCCTGTCACCATTTTCTTGCTGGGGGCAGGCACTGGGGGTCTGCTGGCCATAGGCAAGTGTGGAAGCAAAGGGCAGGGTCTGGGCAAGGAACGGAACTGATCACCTGAACTTTGGCTTCACCCCACTCCCCTAGGTCTCTTTCAACTCCTGGTGAACCCCATGAACATCTATGAGGAGCAGAAGATGGTGGCATTGTATGGCTTGGCAGGTTAGTGCTGGGCAAGGGGGCCCTTCAGGCCTGGGGAACACAGCCTGGTCCTGGGTGCCTCTGAGGGAGTTGGAGCTTGCTCCTCCCTACCCAAGCACCCTATGGCTTCAGTCTCTTCTTGGGCTTTAGGGTGGGAGGTTCAGAGGTGAGAGGCCCCAACCTAGGAAAACAAAGATCTTGACCTCAACAAGTCCTTCTAATCTGATGAGGGAGCCCCCACTGCCCACATGCCATAGTCCAAACTCTACCACCCTCTCCGGACCTCTCTGGCTCATTTCCTGATTCTCCTGAGAAATCCAGTTCATTCATTCATTCATTCTTTCTTTCATTGATTCATTTATTCATTCATTCAACACTTACTGGGCACCTGCTAAGGATTCAGCAAGGAATGAGATTGGCAAGCCCCCACTTTTTTTGAGTTTACTCTCAAGAGAGTCAGACACTAATGAACTTTTCAAGATAGAGTCTCCAAACTATTTGCCCAGGCTGCCTTCGAACCTCGATCCTCCTGATCTCTGCCTCCTGAGGAGCTAGGATTACAGGTGTGATTACTGGTGCCTGGCTAACACTGATGAACTTTAAGTAAGCAAGAGCATTTCTGCTGGTGACAAGTGGCATGAAAAATGTAAAGCAGGGAGTATGAGAGAAAGGGGTTGGGAAGCTACCCTAGCTTGAGGAGTTGGGGAAGATTTCTCAGAAAAGGTGACATTTGAGTGGAAACCTTTGTATTGGTAGGTGTTGGGCTGTAAGAACAGAAAATCCACCTAAAAGTGGTTTAATTATACAGAAAATATTATCTTACATAATGAAAATTTTCAAGCCAAAGTAGTTTTGGAGTTTAAATAATTCAACAGCTCAATAGCCCCATCAAAGATTTGGGGTTCTTCAGTCTCCTCTTTGCCATCTTAGGCCTGTCAACCTCTCTTCAGGTCACAAAATGGCTTCAGGCATCACTTTTTTTTCTTTTGGCATTACTGATGGATTGAACTCAGGATCTTTTGTTTATTAGGCTGGCACTCATCCACTTGAGCCACTCCACCACACCTTCACATGACGTCAAAGACCAGAAGAGAGAAGAATGGACATCCTTTTCTTATGTCTCTTCTTAGGAACCAGAAAAAGTTCTCTATAATCTCCCCAGCAGGCTTCTTCTTACATCTCTTTGGCCAGTACAGCAACACATGTCCTTCCCTGAACCTGACCTGGGCAAGGGGAATGGAATTAGAGCATCACTAGTTTATTTTTAATTTTTAAAAAAAAATTTTGGCAATACTGGGGTTTGAACCAGGGCCTCAGGCTTGCTAGGCATGAGTTCTACCACTTGAGCCACTCTGCCAGCCCTGTTTTTTTTTTTTTTTTTTTGGAGGGGGGATTTTGGGGTAAGGTACTGGGGCCTGAACTCAGAACTTTACACTTGTTAGGTAGGCACTTTACCACTTGAGCCACTCCGCCAGCCCTTTTTGTGTTGGGTATTTTTCTAAATAGGGTCTCATGAACTATTTGCCAGGACTGACTTCCAACTGCGATCCTCCTGCTCTCTGCCTCCTGAGTAGCTAGGATTACAGGCGTGAGCCACTGGCACCTGACTATCACTAGTTTATTGAATGAATAAACTTGAGTCTTTAGTCAGAAGGCCAAGACCACAAACAATTTTCTCTCTGACCACTACATTCCCATACGTTCCCCTATTGAAATGTGTGAACTTTCAGGCCTAGAGTCAGGACTCTATAGCTTGGCTGGAGTCCAGCCTGAGAGGGGTTAGGCAGCTTCCCCTTCCTGCAACACAGTCCCTGGGTCTTAGGCCCCTGGTGTGTCTCATTTGACATATGACATCCATCCCCTCCACAGACTCTCTTGCTATGCCTGCCTGGGCCAACTGCTTCCCTTCACTTCCAGAAAACACACATTTCAGGACTATTTGTATTTGTTCACTTTTTATATAATTTATGTATTTATTTAGTGGTGCTGGGGGTTGAACCCAGGGCCTTGTGTGTGCTAGGCAAGTGCTGTATCATTGAGTCATATCCCTAGCCCCGGTCTCCTTACATAAATGGGTTGGGAAGAGGAGTGAGACTAGTTATGCTTTTTTTGGTAAGCCTAAAGAAGATATCTAAAGCTCCCTGGGGCTCTCCTTAGAATGTAAGGCAACTATTTGTCAACTATTGTCTCAGCTGGAGTCTTTGGCCAGAAGGGCAAGATCACAGAACAAATCTCTTTCAATGTCCTGCAATGCCATGATTGGTTTAGACAGATTCAGACTCCCCCCCAGGGGCCAGGGCAGGACTGGGCTACTGCCCTTGAACAAAACCCAAGTTGTGTTAGCAAGAGAGAAGGCAGAAAAAACTGTGGGGTGGCACCCAACAGGGTTTGCCACAAACCTGTATGACTAGGTGGAGCCAGCCACGTGAAGGACAGGGGTGGAGGGCTCCTGGCAGCACAGTAGTGAGCTCCAGGAGCTGAGAGGAGGAATGAGAGTGGCGTGTTCAAGGAGCAGCAGCCAGGTCCCTGTGGGTGGAGATGGTGGGCGAAGGGCTGAGTAGCATGAGATCACTTCAGAAGGTAGGCAGGGGCCAAATCACCAGGGTCTGTAGAGCCTGTCAAAGGAGTTTGGATTCTTTTTTTCTTTCTTTTTTTTTTTTTGGCAGCACTGGGGTTTGAACTCAGAACCTCATGCTTGCTAGGCAGGCACTCTACCACTTGAGCCACTTCTGCAGCCCAGGAGTTTGAATTCTATCCACCAAGAGTAGTACAGAAGTACTGAGTAGTTCACAGCAGGGAAGAGGCATGATCTGATATATGCTTTTACAAGATCACTCTGGCTACCTTGAGAGAATTGAAATGTCAAGGAGCAAGAAAGAAGTAGGAAGACTAATTAGAAGGTTCTAGTCCAGGGAATGGGGGAATAGTTCAGTAGTAGCATGCACAAAGCCCTGGGTTCATTCCCCAGCACTGAAACAACAACAGACAGCAACAAAAGGCTATAATCCCAGCCAGAATGACAGGTACTCTAGGAGAACAGTGGGAATAGAGAGAAGCATAAAGATTTTGGATTGACCTGGTGCTGGTGGCTTACATCTGTAATCCTAGCTACTTAGGAGGATCAAGGTTCTAGCCAGCCTGGGCAAATAGTTTATGAGACCCTATCTCAAAAAAACCCATCACAGAAAATGGCTGGTGGAGTGACTGAAAGTGTAGGCCCTGAATTCAAACCCCAGTACCACCAAAAAAAAAAAAAAAAAAAGATTTGGGATTGTTTTTCGCTGTCATTGGGCAAGCACTCCATCCACACAGGAATCTTCTCATTTCCCTGACCAGCTCACGCTGTTCCTTTGGCCTGGACTACCATCTGCTCCTGTAACAACACTTACTCATCTCCTAGTCCCAGCTGACACATCATCTCCTTTGTCCAGCCTTCCCAGCCCCACCCCTCCCTAAAGAAATCCCCACGCCCTCCTTGGCTCTGCATAAGCACCTCTGTGGTGTGCTGAGCACATTGCATGGTAGTCACTTGTTTACTTGTCTGTCTCCCTCCTTGGATTATGAGCCTTGAGGAGCACGCCGTCTCCTTGCAGAGACCACAGGGAGAAACATGTGAAACTTCTGGAACCTACCAGTGGTACATGATTAAGGGCTAATGTGAGGGAGGAGCAGAGCTCTGAATGCTGTAGGTATCAGAAGCCCTGGGAATGGCAAGGTGGGCTCTGACGTAGCTTCTGACTACCCTGAAACAGATATCAGTGCCTGTTTCCAGAGTTTTTCTCCTGATCACTCTGTTCCCTCATCACCTATAGTAAGTATGAATCCAGCCTGGATAGGAGAATTATTGGCTCCCTTCCCTAACACAAGCATGCACACTCATGTGCACACACATGTCCATCGCTGTGACTTTCCATCTCTAGTCCTCTCTCCACGCCCTTCCAGAGACTGGCAGCTGAACTCTGTGAATGGCTGTTGGATAAATGAAGGAGTGAGTGACTGACCTGCAAGGTTTATCAGAGTCAGTGTAAATGAGGATGAGGGTGGGATGGCGATCGTTCCTGACGGGGGCTGGGGCAGGTGCAGACTCTAGTAAGCATGGTGGGCATGGCAGCGTCCTCATTTTGCCTCCTCTCCTTTTGGACTTTCTTGGCAGGCATGGGGGCCATAGGCTGGGGGACCTCCCCTCATATCCGCTGTGCCAGCCTCCTGTTGATACCCAAGATGCTGGGCAAAGAGGGCAGGCTCTTGGTCCTGGGATATGCTTTGGCTGCCATCTATGCAGGTGAGTAGGTGTCACTGAGTGCCAGTTGGTGACACTGAAGCAGTGACCCTGGGTAGACCATCCAGTGGGGACCAGGCCTGGTGAAGGAGAAAAAATTGGGGGTCTAATTCCACTTCAGCTTCCCCACCCCTGGGCCTCCTTAGTTGACACAGGTGAGAAAGTCAAGGGTCAGACAAGAAGATCTATTACAGGCTTCCTGGGCCCCATCATTACACAGTTCTAGAAGGTGGTCTGCATGCAGAGAAAGAGCTAGGAGCAGGTTTGAGGAAAGTCCTGACCCTACAGGGAGGTGACCCACTGGGCCTGTTCCTCCAGGGCCAGCGGCCAATCTGCGACACAACCTCAACGAAGTGATAGCATCGCTGGGCTGCACCGTGGAGCTGCAGATCAACAACACCCGTGCGGCCTGGCGTGTCTCCACAGCCCCTTTGCGGGCAGTGTTCAAGGACCTGCTGGTCAGGCCCCTATGCCTGGGGTCCCTTTCTCTGGGGCCCAGTTGACTTGAGTTGGGAGCTATGGTCCTGCAGTATCCCAATGGGGATACACCTGATTTTTTTTTTTGCAGAACTGCCCCCAAACGTTATAGAATATGTTCTGGTCCTGGGGTATTAAGTGCCAGGAGAGCACCTCTGGTCATTGGGACATACGTGTCCCACACACATTTCCAAATACCTGAGTGGGTGGCACTCTGGGCAGCTGAAATAAGTGTTGGGAAATTGAGGAGCTTGGCTTTTGAAGACTGGAGGACTAGGGAAGTGGGTATTGGAAGGCTAAAGATTGGGGGTTTGGGAGTATTGGAGAAGATAGGGAGTTGGGAGACAAGGTCTGAGATTAGGGGTTTGGGAGTTAAGGACATTCAGATGGCACCATGATTACAGATTAGTGTCCAGGGGCAAAGTCCAGGGGCCTGGGGACCCACTGACCAGTGAGAATCTGGGAGGAAAAGCTGAGGGTCTGGGGAAAAGTGATGCAGCTGGGGAGGGGTGAGGCTTCCCAAGTACTGTGAGCAGTGGGAATTGGAGGGGAGAAGCTGTGTCTTAGGCCCAGCTCCCTGTCAGCTTAAAACTTGGCATGTGTAGAGGACAGGTTAGAGGGCAGCAGACCCTCTAACCCCTATCCATCCTCTCCTCCTGCCTCCTCCAACCCCAGGGCAGCAAAGAATCATTGAAAGCAGAGACGCAAAACATCTCCTCTGCCTTTGAGGACCTGGATGCCCAGGTGAAGAGTGAAACTGGCTACTCTCCTGAGGATGCCAAGGGCCTAGAAGATACAGACCAAGGCAAAGAGACCCGTGGAGCCCCCCACATCAGACTCCACCTGTCCACACAGAAGTTGTATGAGCTGAAGACCAAGCTGCGCTGCTCCCGTGAGGGGTGTCCCTGAGCGGGAAGGATGGGGCAAGCCACAGGGTCAGGGGCCAGATTGAGGTGTGGGGACCTCAAACACCCTTGTTCCTTGCCACAGATGTGGTGAACCAGGGCATACTCAGCTGCCGTCGCTGGTTTCAGCGAAAGCATGAACAGTGCATGGAAAGCATCTGGGTCCCGCTCCTCAAACACCTGCTCTGCCTGCCAATGAAATTCAAGTTCTTCTGTAGCATTGCCAAGGGTCAGTACAGCATCAGGAGGGTGGGAATCACCAGGGCTAGGCAACTGAGTCCTTGGGGACCAGCCACAATAGGTATGAGGTAGTAGAGCTGTCAGATGGGGAGGGTGTGGACTCTATGGGCCCAGCACCTTCTGAGCCCACACATCTATTGGCTGCTTTGTGCACTGGTGAGTTACAGCTAAACTCTGGGCTTCGTCTCTTCATCAGAAAGATGGGCACAATAATAGTCCTTATCCCTTCAGGAATTTGGAGGATTTAAGGGGATAATGTACATGAAGCAGTTAACAGAACTGGCATACAGAGGAACTGCTCTATAAACACTGGCTGTCATTATTGGTATTTGCTATGGTTAGGAACAGGTGAAAAAATGGGGGTGAAGAATCAGGCCTTGTTCCCAGCCAGATGAATCCAAGGAAGTGGAGAGGGGAAGAGTCAGTGAGGTAGAAAGTCATGGGCAGAGAGACAAAAAAAAAAGGGCAAGAGGCTCACAGGAGAGCAGGAAGGCCAGTCAGGCCCAGGCATGCAGGCCAGTGTGGGGAGCCCTAACCTGGCCCAATTTTCACCAGTGATGGAGATTTGGTGCCGCAATCGCATCCCATTGGAAGGCAACTTTGGGCAGACCTACGACTCCCTCAACCAGTCTATTCGTAGTCTAGATAAGGAATTTTCAGCCAAAATTGACATCAAGGTAGGAGGCAGGAGTGTGGATGGGTGGTGGGCAGACAGGGAGTGGGAGGAGGCATTAGGGAGCAAGGCAGGAGGAAGGACTGGTGAGAGCCCCAGGGAATAGGTGACTGGGTGTGAGGAGGGAGACAGGAGGGGAATGGTGTTGGTGACAGTGTGTGGTATGAATGCACCTGCTGGAGTATGAAATAGTCAGCCAGGCAGGAGATGGTATCAGCTGATGTAGGTGCATGGGAGCAAGACAAAGGGTAATGAGCAGGGGAAGTGACAACTCCTGCCGTCTTGGGAGTTTCCAGGGGCATGAGGGGTGCCGGGGAGAGGTGTCACAAAGAGGCTGGCTCTGGGTCTGACCAGACAGCAGCAGCCTGAGTGTGCATGTGTGCCCTCCCAGGAAGAGAAGCGGGCTGGGTTACTGGGCCTCAACACGAGTTGGGAGCACGTGAGCACCGAGGTGCGGGACTACGTGGAGCGGCAGGAGGCCCGGCTGGAATGGGCCCTAGAGCTGTTGCGCGTGCTGCTGTCTTGCACCTTCCTGATGGTCCTCCGCGCGTGAGCCATGACCCCCACCCAGCTGCTCCTTCTGCCAATCTGCATGGGAGGCCCTGCCCTGAGAGAGGCCATAACGATGGACATGCAGAGCCCACCCCCAGTTCTGAATCTGAATATCCTTTGCCTTTTTATTAAGCTGAGTTTGCTGTTTATGCTAAGTTAAGGACATGTGGACATTCTGTAAAAAGAAACATTGCCTATGTCCCCATCATCTTAAAAGGGAGGCCGTCTTCATTTATCTGGCTCCTTCTAGCCTTTATCCCAACACCGACTTTTTTTGCCTTTAGCTTTGACTTTTGATTTTTTCTTGCCCTTCATATTCCCCTTGGCTCTGACTCTGGGCCATTTTTATCGTCCAATTTTGCTTTCATTCTCTCCCGCCTGCTGCGTTGGCAGCTACTTCCCATCCATTTGGAACAAAGTCCTCAACCCCACCCAGACTGGCATCTAGCTGGGCTATCCTGGGCCTCCCTCTGCTCTCATTCCCCAAGTGACTTCTGGACCCTCTACTTTCCATCTCCACCCTCAAATGTCTGAGATAGGCAGGGACTGGACAAGGGCAACCACAGGGGCCCTTGTCATCTACTTGTTTATGGGACTAGAGTGACTGAAAGTGAGTGGTTATGTGTGTACCCACGGGCCCTGTGGGAGGACCAAGGTGAGTGAGCCATATTCCTGCCCTCAGGATGCCCCTGGTCTACTGGAGTGGTGAGCAAGACACCCACAAGACAGAGATGTTTGGGGACCATACCATAGTATGGTTATTGGGACAGATGTGGGAGCTCAAGAGGTACCCTTGGACTGACCATAATAACTAGGATCCAAAAGGCTGTAGGTGTGGAGCCATAATCAAAGAAAGGAAGAGTGATATCTTTTTTTTTTTTAATGGTACTGGATTTTGAACCCAGGGCCTCATTCTTACTAGACAAATGCTCTACTACTTGAGCCACTCCACCAGTTCTTTTTCATGTTGAATATTTTTTGAGATAGGGTCTCACAAACTATTTTCCCTGTCTGGCTTCAAACCGCAGTCCTCCTGATCTCTGCCTCCTGAGTAGCTAGGATTACAGGCGTGAGCCACCAGCGCCTGGCTGAAGGGTAGTATCTTGATCCAGGATCTTGGTATAGAGGGCAGACGCTGGAATGGAGACTGAGCTAAAGTGGGCATGACCAGAAGAGTTTGGAAATCCCTGCAACGCCCTGCACTGGGCGTGAGATGGACCGGGCCAAACCAGAACTAGGGAGGCCAGGCCTGGTCAGAGGTTAGGGAACCTGGCTGGGGTGGGGCAGGGCAGGAAGACGACCTCAAATGAAGAGGAAAGGGAAAAGTACAGCAGGTCTCAGAGCCAGCTTGGGTGGGAAGGAGGGACAGAGTAAAACGTCACTTCCAGGTTTTCAACCTGCATGAGGTCATTCATTGAGGGGACAGAAGTTGTGAGAGGCAGGCCCCAGTGCAGGAAGTCCGGGTACCACAGCAGCAGGTCTCTCCACAAGGGGGCGCTCTCACTCTGTCTTTGCATTTATAGTTCTACTTTACAGGCAAAAATGTAGATATTTTTAAAAATAGGGTCCCAGAACCAGTAGCATTAGAACTTCAGTTTTCACACTTTACAGAGTTTATTTAATATACTTTTACAGTTTTCAACACATTTCCGACAATTAAAATTTTTTCCTTAGGAAACTAGTACTATGAAGGACTTTGAGAGATACACAGAGGATAGCTACACGTGCACAAGTGTGCACACACACAACCTTACCATGCTCAAGGATAGCCAGGGAGGGGTAGGGAAGTGCCAGGGAGAAGGGATATGGAGATTTGGGATAAGTTTTACTTGAGACAACCTCCCAGAGATGTGCTGAAGGCAAAGTCAGGAGGAACTTGAGAAGTGAATGTGGAAGTCACAGGGGACTAGGTGATTCCTGAAACCTTGAGGGGTTCCCGCCTCTGTGTCTCTGCATGAAAGTCACTCTGCAAGGTGTATTCCTGCTCCCACATACCACTCCCTCCCAAAGGCTGGCTATCCCCTCCTCTGTGCCCCACCTTGCTGCTGTTGGGTCTCCCTGAATGTGTCTCGAGGAAGTCTGTGTCAGGGGTGGGTGAGGAGCAGGACATGGAGCCATCCCTATTCATTCATCCACAGGTCCTTCTCCTACATGGACAGCTATAACCAAGACATTCGCTTTGACAACATCTACATCAGCACCTACTTCTGTCAGATAGATGAGCGCAGGAAAAAGCTGGTGAGTGGGCTCATCCCTGCCTGGGGATGCCTTGTGGTTCCCTGTGTGGGCATCCCACTCCAGGAGGGCAGAGGGGAAAGGGGAGAGGACACTCAGGATTCCTAACTATGTAGACATTTGTTTCTAGGGCAAACGGACTCTGCTGCCACTCCGCAAGGCTGAGGAGACAGCTGTCATCTTCCCCTGCAAACCCACCATCCAGGCCTCAGAAATGAGAAATGCGGTGAGGCTGGTGTGGGGAGCAGGCCTCGGGATGCAACTACAGACATGACTCTGAGGGTGGAGGGCAAAGAGCTCCACCAGAGCAAGTGGCAGCCACCCTACCCCTGAGTTCCTGGCAGGTGACAGAGCTCCTGGAGACATTGCCTGTCCTGCTGCTGCTGGTGGTGCTGTGTTTCCTCGACTGGGTGCTCTATTCGGTCTTCAACACCATCCGCCAACACTCCTTCCTGCAGTACTCCTTCCGCAGTGAGCTGCAGCCCCACCTTGAGCCCAAGGGACAGCCCTGGAGAACTCCAGTCCCCACAGCACCCTTCCCAAGCCTCTTCCTTCTGCATCTTCTGCTCCCTTTCTGTGACCAACCTCTGCTAGTCCTCCCCAAGGTCAAATCTTAATCCTGCGCCTAGACAGCTGTCATGGGAGCCTCACTTACAACAGGGAAGGGTTAGGATTCAGCAAAGCCTCAGAAAGGCATGTGTGTGGCAACACAAGTAGTTCTACGGCTTGACCCCTACCCCATCTCCAGCTCCCATTCTGCCCCAACTCTTAACTCCAATTCTTTGCTGACTCCTCTGCCCATACACATCCTGACCTCAGGCAGTCATAAACTGGAAGTGAAGGTTGAGGGAGATTCCATGCTGGCCCGGCTTCTTCGGAAAACCATTGGAGCCCTGAACACCTCCTCAGACATAGGGGTGGAAACAAACAACATGCGTGAGTGGTGCTGAAGGTCTGGATCTATGGAATAGAGGTTGGGGGTGAGGGCAATTGATTCCAAGGTAAAGTCTTGGGGGACTGGGACTTTGGGGTGGAGAGGTTGGGGTTGGCATTCTTGAGTTGGAGAAATCAGAGCAGGGAATACTCCAGGGTCAGAGTAGTCTGGGGGCTGGGGTCGGAGCCAGAGGACCCCAGCCCTCTTGAGCAGCAGAACTTTCTGTCATGATGAAGAATCTTAGATTGCGTACAAACAGCCTGGTGGACCTAATGGCTCTGCAGGGTGAGGGGCTGGAGGAGGGCAGGGAATGGGAGGCCTGCTTTGCACTTCCCACTGATGTGGGCAGTTCAACCCAGGGTTCCCTGTCCCTTGGCCAGCCCTGACCAGACCACTGACAGCCTTCCCCCTCCCCTAGCCTGCCTGCCCCAGCCTGTGTGCCTGGATGCCAGGGCCTACTGGAGGGCTACGCTACCAATAGTCCTGCTAATATGTCTCTGCCTGGCCCAGGCTTTTGGCTACCGGCTCCGGAGAGTCATCGTAGCCTTCTACTTCCCCAAGGTGCATCCTCCCCCCGCCCCACTGCTCTATCCCTAAACACACACACAGCATCCTACCAATCCCATCTTCATCCTCAGCACTGTCACCGTCATTGAACTCCTCTCTCTACCCCAGCGAGAGAAGAAGCGGGCCCTGTTCTTCTACAATGAACTATTGAGAAAGAGAGCAGCCTTCACCCAACTGAGGAGGGCTGCCATCTTGAGGCGGGCACGCGAGCAGAGGGCTCCGGTTAGTCCAGGCCTACTGTGCCTGCCAGCTCCTGGCTGGGTCTGGGGGGAAGAGGCACCTCCCTGCAGTTTGTCCAGCACCCACCAGGGTCCCAGGACTACTAGAGCTGAGTGAGTCTGACATGATGCATGACTGGCTCTTGGAGGACAGGGCTGTGTCCATCTCTGAATCCCAGCATTCAGTCCAGCCTGGGACTCTCAGTGGACCATCAGTAAGCTGGCAGAAAAAAGGATCAGATCTGACGTGGTCTAATTGAAGGAAAGCAAGGATGATTCATTAAGAAAAGAGAACAAAGACAAAGTCACAGATTCTTCTGCAGACCATTCAGTGCAGTTCAGAGGAGGGGAAGGAGGCAGGTGGCATGGAGTCAGGAAGACCTGATGTAGGTGTACATGGTATATGTAAACAGCAAGGAGTCAGCAGAGTCGGGTTCCAGTCCACACTCCCTCCTTAAGCTGTTTGACCTTGACCAAGGTCCTCACTGGGTCTCAGTTTCTTCTTCTGAAGAATGAGGGGTTAGACAGACTCAAACATCCCTCTCACCAGAGATCAGAGTGGTATCCAGGTGCCAAAGAGCCTAGGTTTGAATCCTACCTCTTCCTCTCTTCAGTATGACAGCTATGTGATCGTGAACACTTTACTTACTGCTGTGTCTTGGTTTTTCCCTTCTGTAAAATGGTGTTAACTACTCCATCCAGTTGTTTTGTTTTGGCAGTACTGGGGTTTGAATCCAGGGCTTCACGCCTACTGCTTGAGCCATGACTCCAGCCCTCTATCTGGTTGTTGTAAGGATTAAGTGAGTTTTACTCTCATGGTGCTGGTATGAGAATGAAGCTGTACATACATACGGGTTTCCTGTCATTGTTCACCCCTGGGCAAGTGACCACCTCTCCAAGCATCAGTTCTTTCGCCTGAAAAAGAGGTAGTGACCAGGCACCAGTGGCCCGCACCCATAATCCTAGCTACTTGGGAAGCTGAGGATAGTGATTTGAGGCCAGCTCAGGCCAATAGTTCTCCCAGACCCCATCTCCAAAACAACCAGAGTAAAATGGTCTGGAGGTGTGGCTCAAGCACTTGCCTCACAAGTGTGAAGTCATGAGTTCAAACCCCAGCCCACCCCTCATAAAAAAAAAGAGATGGTAATAACAGTATCTGCTGTATATAGGTTTTTGTGTGTGCTAGGAATGGAACCCCAGGCCTATAACAAGGCATGACTCTACCACTAGTACCCCAGTACATATGGCTGTTTCTTGAATTGAGTTAATTTACCTACACTCCCTTAGTACAGGGCTCAACATTATAGACAGAACAACAAATGACAGTCATTTTTATATAATCAACCCTAACAAAGTTTATAAAAGTTTGCTTTATGTTTTCCTCCAGCCCTTCCCAGCCCCCATGACACACACACAGGCTGAATGAATGAGTTTCTGATGAAAAAAGTGAACACATTGGGACTCCTTGACCTGATCCTGAAGTAAACTGGACTTGAACAGGCAGTTGGAAGTGGGAGGGACATATGTATTCTAGGCTGAACATTCAAAGACTCAGAGTCCAAAGGGAATGCCAAGTGCCAAAAGCGAGGCTACAGATACAGAAGCCACAAAAGAAGCAGTATTCAGGGAGGTGGAGCAGAGGCTAGAAAGCACAGATTATGGAAAGCTCTGAAGGCCAAGCCCAGTAGTTCTACTTTTGTCTGGCAGGCACTGAGGCTGGCCCTGGAGATCTTGAGCAAAGAATGACCTGATCAGGTGGCTTGTGAAGGATTCCTGGCAATTGTATGGAGAGGGGGTGGGGTGGCGTAGAGGGCATAATGATAAGGAGGCTTGTGGTTTGGAATCAGAGCACCTGGGTGGGGTCGGGATTGACTTAGTATACAACTTTAAAGCTATACTATCTGAGTTTCATCGAAAGGTGAAAACTGTAAGGTGGGAATAAGCATAGCCATAGTCTATTTGCCCTACTCACTTCCCCGCCTGCAATGAGAGCTAAATACGACGACTTACAAGTGCAAAAACAGTTATTGCTGATATATCCCCAGGGAAAGCCTGGAGGCTGCTACCTCCCATGTTCCATCATGGAGTGGGGGGAGGGAGGAGGCTCTCTAGGACCCACTTCCACAGGACTCTCGCCCTCCAAGGTTCTTTTTTGCCCCACCTGGCCTCCTTCAACATGTGGGCAGTGTCAGACCTTGGGACTTCAGACAACAGAGCTGTCCAGTGCCGCCTTTTACCTTTTCGCTCAACTGACACTATCCCCCCACCCTCCCCCAACAGCGCCACCACGTGGTGGACATCCTGCACCACCGCTGCCCGCTCCTGCACAGGTGGCTGCGCCAGCGCTGCGTAGTGTGCCAGGCACCGGAGACGCCGGAGTCCTACGTGTGCCCGACGCCGGACTGCGAGGCTGTGTACTGCCAGTCGTGCTGGGACGACATGCGGCAGCGGTGCCCAGTCTGCACGCCCCGAGAGGAGCTCTCCTCCTCGGCCTTCAGTGACAGCAACGATGACACTACCTACGCGGAGTGAAGGGCTTGCTGCTCACTTTCCCGCCCAACCTCCCGTTGAAATAAAACGCCTTGTATGCTCCTGCTGCCAGCGCTTCGCGGGGGTCGGGGACGGGTGGGCTGGGCGCTGGCTAGCAGGTAGTCGGGAGAGCTGACCGCTCATCCCTGCAGGGCTGGGCCACGGACCTGAGGCAGGAAAGGCAGCGAAGCTCCTAGGGAGGGGTCCTGACCTGGGCGGAAGGAGGGAAAGGCACGACGACTGAGCCGGCCGCACCCGGCTCCCAGCAGTTTTGGGAAAGCGGCTAGGAGGAGCTGCGGGGGCGGAGCCGGCGTGGTGGGCAGGTCCCACTCCTTTAGGACCCGGTGCGGCGGGGGCGGGCCTTGCCGGGGGCGGAGCCGAGCGGGAGGTGGAGCCTGGCTCCGGGCCGGGTAGGAGGGAGCGAGGCGGGGCCGGTGGCTGCGCGGTGCCCCAGTGTGCGTGAAGCAGACCCAGCCGCCGCGGTTTCCGCGTGTGGTCCCGCACCTGCTGCCCTTGCCCGGCCTGGGGCGCCCCTGCCATGCCGCTGGCGCTGCTCTGGGCCCTGGGGCTTCTGGGCGCGGGCAGCCCTCGGCCCTCCCCGCCTCTCCCAAATATAGGTGAGTTCCCCGGGCAGAGTGGGTCGAGGGGCGGACTGGGAAAAGGTGCAGGAAAGTTAGGAAGCTTTGGGGTACTGAGGCCAGCCGGAGAGCCCAGCCAGAGCGCGGCTTGCCTGGTCTGCTGCCCTGGGCCTAGGGCCTAGTGACTTGGCGATGGAGTGAAGAGGGAAGGAGGAGGGATGCTGGTGCCCCCTGTCCGGTCGCCCTCAGCCTTGTCCCTCAGGCACTTTCAGGCTCAGGTACCAGGCAGCGAGGGGCCCGCCCAGCGCCCCCTAAGAATCGTGGAAAGTGGGTCGCTCCTCCCCAGGACTGACGTCTTCCCTCTTCTGGGGCCCAGATAACCGGTCCACCTGGTGCCAGGGGCCCGAGTGGGCACAACTCTTGGGGGTTAGGGAAGAGTATTCTTCCCAGGCCCCCACCCCAGGCCTGGGCGGCCAGGCACTGTTCATCCTGGTACTGTTGCCACCAGAAGCCTGGCTGAGCGGAAGGGGTCCGGGAGGAGCCTGGAGAAGGCAGCAGTGGCCAGGAAAGAGGCCGAGACACCAACTCCTCCTTGGAACTTTCACTTCCCGCTGCTGTCTTGGGCTGGGGGCCGCAAGAGCAGGCGGGGGTGGAGTGTCCGGAGGAGAGAAGGCCATTGTGGGGGGGCGGGCATTAGGGGAGGAAGCAGAGGCTGTGGGGAGCGGGCGTGCCTCACTGGGCATCAGGGCTGTTTAGGGAGGTGGAGGTGTTTGCACTGCTCACCCAGAAATAGGCGTTCCCGGCATCTCCGATGTGAAGGAAGGGGAGGGCAAGTGGGCACCAGGCCACAAGGCTTTGCCTAGTCCTAAGAGGGCGTTCCTGGTGGGGAAGTAATTGGAAAGGAGTGGGAACAGGGGAGGGTCCCTGTGAAAGCCTGAGATTGGACAGGGGGCACAAACGGAGGCCACAGGCTGGACAAGCTGAACCTCTTTCTCTAGAACTTATGGATGGATGGGCTGGTGAGTAGAAAACAGTAAGTTGGAGAGAACCCCCTTTGGTAGACTGGTAGACTCCTTTAAGTCTCAGTATGCAATGCAGAAGCCCTTCAGGCACAGAAGGGTCTTGATCCTTGGTCTTGGGTCTGAGAGCACTAGTCATCCCAGTCCTGCCATAAATTCCATCAGCACTCTCCTGGGGGGTGGGGGAATCTGGTATCCTGCAGGTGGCACTGAGGAGCAGCAGACCAGACCAGAGAAGGCCCTGAGTGGGCCCTTGGAGCACCAGGCCCTTCAGGACAAGCCCCCTATCAGCCTAGCAGAGGTGCTTCAGGTGAGCTTCCCTCTCCCTGTTAACAAAGAAATACAGCCACTCACACCCCACATCACCAAGCCCAAAGCTTGGCTGTGGAGCCAATGAGCAGACCCCTTGAAGCAGGTTCATTCCACATCAGCTGCCTCTCCTGCCCCACCCCAGCACCTGGCTTCACTTAACTTCCTTTCCTCTCTGTACACTAGTCTGCCTCAGTACCACCCAATCTGTCCATCTCCACTGAGGAAATATGGAAGCCAGACTTGCTTCTTTCACATCAAGTTGGTTTTCTCAGTGGAGAGATTTGGAAAGTGTTAGGGCCTCACCAACACCCCCCCCCATTCTAAAGCTGAGTCAGAGGAAGGGCTGGAGCCTGCGCTGGGTCCTCCACGATGCTTCCTCTCTGAACAGGAAGCCGTGAAGGGGCGGCTCAGATACCTTCCTTGACCTCCCCACACAACCCCCCAGAACAATGCCCCAAGCCAGGCAGGGCTTCCTGGTCCCTCCCTTGGGATCCCCCACCAGTGACCTAATTGTTGGTGCTCTCCTGAGGGCCTGAGGCTTTCTGGTTAGAGACGGTAGAGGCTGTGTGCAAGGCTAGGGAGGTGATATGCCTTCTGGTACCCACAGACAAGTCCACCTGAGTCCTTAAGGATCAAATTGGAGCTGGATGGTGAGAGTCATATCCTGGAGCTGCTACAGAATAGGTAAGATGGCAGAAATAATAATAATCACATGACCTACAACTTACAAACCACTTACTATGTGCCAGGTACTAAGTGCCTATGCTCATGTAATTCTCATAACAATCCTCTAAGATAGATACTACTACTGTGTATTATATGAAGAAGTTAAGGCACAGAGAGGTTAAATAACTTGCCCAAAGTCACACAGCTAGTGTGTGTGAAAACCCATATTGGAACCCAGATAGCCTGGTGGAGTCAGTGGGCCAAACCCCTAGGGGCTGCCTCAGGGGAATTGGGAAGGTTGGGGGTGTTTCCTCTACTACCTTAGGCCTCAGCTTGTCACTGCACCACCCCGTGAAGTAGCTCAGTTACCACCCTCCTTTCTCTTCACTCCTTAGGGATTTGGTCCCAGGCCGCCCAACCCTAGTGTGGTACCAGCCCAATGGCACTCAGGTGGTCAGTGAGGGACACACTCTGGTGAGTCAGTCCAGCTTGCACCTGTTTTTAGCCTAGACGAAGGAAGGAGGGGCAAGGCAAGGGTGGCAGCGCTGGAGGAAGTGGGTGGACACTTTAGGTCTTTGCCAGCAATCTGAACTTCTGGATTCAAGTGCTCCTCTTCCCTTCCAGCTGGCGCTAACATTGTTCCTCTGCTGTAGGAAAGCTGCTGCTACCAGGGAGGAGTGTGGGGCCACGTGGGCTCCTGGGTCACCATCTGCACTTGCTCTGGGCTTAGGTACAGTGGTTGGGTTCTGTGACAGTGGAGGGGGCACAGGCATGGAGCAGAAATGTTCTCTAACTTCTTGTCTCTTTCCTTAGGGGGTTGGTGGTCCTGTCCCCAGAGAGAAGCTATGCCCTGGAGCTGGGGCCTGGGGACCTTCAGGGTCCTCCCATTATCTACCGCATCCAAGACCTCCTCCTGCCAGGCCACTCCTGTGCCCTAAGCCAGCGTGCACCTATGCCCACTCAGGCTCCATCAGACCTCCCCCTGGGACAGCATCACATTCGCCGGGTGAGAAGGAATGGCAGGAAAGCTAGGCTTCAGCCGTCTGCAGGGCTGACCTGGCTCCTCAGAGCTCTGTTCACAGTGATAGCAGCTCCTACTGTTGAAGCCATTCCCCTGTGCCAGGCACTTGTGAACACTGCTTCATTTACTCTTCCCAGCAAGTCTAGCAGGCAGATGCCATCAATAGCTCGGAGGGGTTAGCTGACGTTCCCAAGGCCATACTATTCGTAAATGATATATGTAGGATTTAAAAGTGGAGTTCCACTCAAACCCCTCACCCATCTTACAAGCTCTTTTGCAGAGAACTCTCACTTGGGTATAGAAAATATATAGTTACCAACTGGAAAGCAATAAAAACCCCATTTCCTAGTTTGTTAAATGGGGATAATAACACTGCTTTAAAGGGTTTCTGTGAAGATTAAATGAATTGATACATATTGCTTAAAATTGTGCCTGGTATATAGATAGTACTGATAGGTCAGCTATTATTTTTGTTTATTTTTTTGGTGGCACTGGGGTTTGAACTCAGGGCCTCATTCTTGCTAGGCAAGGCACTCCACCACTTGAGCCACTCAGCCAACCCTGTTTTGTGTTGGGTATTTTCAAGATAGGGTCTCATGAACTATTTGTCTAAGGCTGGCTTTGAACCTTGATCTTCCTGATCTCTGCCTCCTGAGGATTAACAGACATGAGCCATTAGCACCTATTTTATTTTTAAAATTTTGCAAGAAGTACTGAGTTTGGACTGGGAAAAGCAGAGCTCCACTCCTAGCTTCATAATCTACTTCTTGATCAATTGTGGACAAGTCCCTGGCCTCTGTGGCTCTCCATGGTTCATCTGTGAAATGGGCTCTTCACCATCCTCTGCCTGACTGCCTGGGGTGGTCACAGACATAATTTGATCAGCCTGTGAGGCAGGTTGGCCTGACACTGCCTCCTTCCTTATGCACAACAGAAGCGGGATGTGGTAACAGAGACCAAGATCGTGGAGCTGGTGATTGTGGCTGATCATTCAGAGGTAAGTCTGCTGGCCCTGCAGTCCTTCCTTGCTCCCTGCCCCAGCCACCTTTCATGGTAACCTGTCTTGGTCCACAGGTCAGGAGGTACCCTAACTTCCAGCGCCTGCTGAACCGCACTCTAGAAGTGGCCCTCCTGCTGGACACAGTGAGTGTTGGGCTGGGCAGGAGTCCTACAGGCCCCTGACAACAGCAACCCTTTTCTGAGCCTCATCTCTCTTTCAGTTCTTCCGGCCCTTGAATGTTCGGGTGGCATTAGTGGGTGTAGAGGCCTGGACCCAGCACGACCTGGTGGAGATAAGCTCGAACCCAGCCATCACTCTAGAAAACTTCCTCCACTGGCGTCGGGCAGACTTGCTGCCTCGATTGCCCCATGACAGTGCCCAGCTGGTGACGTAAGTCTCCCAGGCCCAGCCAGAGAGCCCTGGCTCTACCCTTTGCTAATGAAATTCACACCCCCTTGAACTCTACCTCAACTCCTAAAGCTCTGACCAGCATGTCTTCAGGCCCTGACCTTTGACCTCTCATTTCACAGTGGTACTTCCTTCTTTGGGCCTATGGTGGGCATGACCATTCAGAACTCCATCTGTTTCCCTGACTTCTCAGGAGGTGTGAACATGGTGAGTTTTTTGTAGCTCTCCTCTCTCTTCCCTAGTCAGTTTCTACCACATGTGGAGCTATTTATTCACTGAAACCCCCTCTACACACTTGGCCAGCCTCAAAGCTGTGGGTATAGTAGAGGTGTGTGATACAGCCTGTGCTTGTCAAGGAACCTCTCACTTGGTGGCCAGCTTATAACAGTGTACACAGAAGGGGAAGGTGGCACAAAGAACAGAGATGATCTCCAGGTGCCACACAGGAGAGGAAAGAGCTGAGCTAGAGCGCAAATTTCCTGTCGCACATGCCTGGACTCTCCTACTTCAGAAGCAATTAAGGAGGGAAGCAGTGCCCGCCAAGTGCCCAGATGAGATGAAGAGGGAACAGGAGTATCCAGGGTTCTGAGCATTGTGTTGGATTCAGGCTGGGGCTACACCTGGGGTATCCTCTCTTCACTTTCAGGACCACTCCACAAGCATCCTGGGAGTTGCCTCATCTATAGCCCATGAGTTGGGCCACAGCCTGGGCCTGGACCATGATTCACCTGGGAGTGGCTGCCCATGTCCAGGTCCAGCCCCAGCCAAGAGCTGCATCATGGAGGCCTCCACAGAGTAAGTAATCTCAGGATGCAGGGAGTAGGGGATGGAGTGCGGGCCAGGAGAGACCTCAGCCCCAACCTTCCTTGCTGCCCTCCCCAGCTTCCTGCCAGGCCTGAACTTCAGCAACTGCAGCCGACAGGCTCTGGAGAAAGCCCTCCTGGACGGGATGGGCAGCTGCCTCTTTGAACGGCTGCCCAGCCTACGCCCTATGTCCACTTTGTGTGGAAATATGTTTGTGGACCCTGGCGAGCAGTGTGACTGTGGCTTTCCTGATGTAAGCCCCTCACCCTAAGCCTTGTCTTCTCCCTTCTGTGTCCTCACCCTGGATAATTAGCCTTCTGAGATGTTCTTTGGTTCTGAAGGGACCTCCCAGTACAGGGAAAGCACATGGATTGTTGGGCTGTAGCTCTCACTTGCTGTGGGGCTTCTGGCACCTTCTGGGTTTGCTTTTGGGGAGTGGGAACAGGTCGGCTCTTGCACCTGGCCTGCTGATGCTCAGCCCCCTCTGTGTCCTTGCCCACAGGACTGCACTGATCCCTGCTGTGATTCCTTCACCTGCCAGCTGAGGCCAGGGGCACAGTGTGCATCTGACGGACCCTGTTGTCAAAATTGCCAGGTGGGCACAGACTAGACTGGTCACCCAGAGTTCACCTGCAGGGGGCCAGGGTGAAAGTGTCATTCTGATTTCTATGACCCCTGAGCTCCCTGGCTGAATTTTCCCAGTACCCACCCTGATGTTTGCCCATTCTCTGCAGCTGCGCCCTGTTGGCTGGCAGTGCCGCCCTTCCAGAGGTGACTGTGACCTGCCTGAGTTCTGCTCAGGAGACAGCTCCCAATGCCCCCCTGACATAAGCCTAGGGGACGGTGAGCCCTGCGCTGATGGACAGGCTGTATGCGTGCATGGACGCTGTGCCTCCTATGCCCAGCAGTGCCAGTCACTCTGGGGACCTGGAGCCCAGCCTGCTGCACCACTTTGTATCCACACAGCCAACACTCGGGGCAATGTCTTTGGGAACTGCGGGCGCAGCCCCAACGGCAGCTACGTGCCCTGCGCCCCTACGTAAGTCAGGAAGCCAGGTTCCCGCTCTGGGTTTGTAAGAGCCTGAGCCCTGCTTCCATTGACCCTGCTTGCCTTTCTTCTACCCCCAGAGATGCAATCTGTGGGCAGCTGCAGTGCCAGGTAGTAGGATGCAGCCTTTGCTGGGTTCAGCCCGAGATCTGCTCTGGGAAAGCCTAGAAGCCAACGGGACACAGCTGAACTGTAGTTGGGTGCACCTGGATCTAGGCAATGATGTGGTTCAGCCTCTCCTGGCTCTGCCTGGCACTGCCTGTGGCCCTGGCCTGGTGAGTAGCCCGGGTAGACAAAAACAGGTGGGAAGGGACACATGAACCACAGCAAGCAGTGTCCACCAGTACAAAAGGCACAGGCTCTACCTCAGATTGAGCGAGTCTTGTCTTTCCACTGAGCCTCTGTTTCCCCATCTGTAAAAGCAGGTATGACCTCAGCCTGTGGCCTCTCAGTCCTAGTGGAGCTTTGTGAAACTCTGATCTTTGCTCTTCTCTCTCCACGGGACAGGTGTGCATCGACCAGAGATGCCAGCCCATGGATCTCCTGGGAGCACAGGAATGTCGAAGCAAATGCCACGGTCATGGGGTAAGCTAATACTGGGAAGATGGAAAAGAAAGGAACCTCCAGGAAGGAAAACAATGAGGAGCGATGGAAACACATGTTCCTGGATTCCAACCTTTGCTTTGCCACTTCCTAGCTGTTTAACCTGGGGCAGGTTATTAACATTCCTGAGTTCAGTTTCCTCATCCATCAAATGGGTATAATAAGAGCCCACTTCCTAGGGTTGTGTGCTGAGAAAGAAGGCTGCTAGCACGGTGCCCAGCATATTGAAGGTGCTCCTTAAGTGTTAGCTTGATCTAATTTCCTCTGACATGGATGAAGACTCCCTCTCTTTAAGGCTCTGGCTCTCTCTACCCATCATCCTCAGAACACCTTCCAGTTGTGGAAGTCTGAGCTCTTGAAAAGCTGGATACAGGGAAATGGTCCAGTATGCCGAACCCCCCCATTGCTCATCCTGTACTTCTAGGTCTGTGACAGCAACAGGCACTGCCACTGTGAGGAGGGCTGGGCACCCCCTGACTGCATCAACCAGCTCCAAGGTAGCCTGGGGGTGGGGCTTGGGCAACTGGAGGGCAAAATGGCTTCCTTTCCCCTGGCCCTCCTTCTGACTCCTTCACTTCCAGTTCCTGGACTCTGACCCCTGAACCTCTCCACATTCTCTGACCACTTCACTCCCTGCCTCCCCACTCCCACCCCCACCCCGCTGCTCCTTCCTGGATGGAGAGTTCTTAGCCCTGACTGCCTTTAAACCTGACCTCTCCCATAGCAACCAGCTCCCTGACCACAGGCCTGCTCCTCAGCCTCCTGCTGTTGCTGGTTCTAGTGCTACTTGGTGCCAGCTACTGGCACCGTGCCCGCCTGCACCAGCGACTCTGCCAACTCAAGGGATCCAGCTGCCAATACAGGTATAAACCTCAACTTGCTGCTGCCATTTCAGGACTGGGGACAGTTCTGAAGCCTGCCCTCACCTGCACAGCCCTTGCCCCTGCTTGGGCCCCAGTCTTCTTAGACCCTGAACTTGACCACTACATCCACACACCTCCCTTCCCTATATGTGTCCTATAACTCTTCACTCCCAGGCACACCTCTTGTGGGGCAACTGGCATGCCAGGGCCATTTCCCCCAGGACTCCAGTGAGGGGTAAGGATGGCCCTCTCACAGGCTAATCACCTTCTCCCTTGGGCTACAAAGAGTTAACTTCCCCCAAGGATGGAAGGTGAGTGGTCAGCAGGGTTTGAGGCTAGACCCTCTCTTCTCTTTCCTCTTGCTCAGGGCAGCCCAATCTGGTCCCCCTGAACGGCCAGGACCCCCACAGAGGGCCCAGCTGATGCCAAGCACTAAGGTGAGCCTTGGATGCCAGAGGGAAGGGGACTCACCTTGGGCCCTGGAGGTGGGCATTGAAGGTTTTAGACTTAGACCAGCATTGCCCAGAGTTAATCAGAGAAGTCAGGACCAGCCCCTTCCCCCCCCCAACCCTCGCCATGGCTGCAGGCAAAAGAGTGCAGGAGCCTGGAGTGGGAGGGCCAGTCCACCCAGAGGAGGCTCTGCTGAGCTCTTTCAGCTGGCCACACTGGTGGCTTTGAAAGGTGGGTCTATCCATCCCCTTCACAGTGACCAGTGCAGGGGACAAGGGAGGGGGGTTCTCAGAAGGGCCTTCAGTGTGCCAGGACCTGACAAGGCCCAGGACCCTGTGTAGAAGGGCTGGTGAGTACCCTCGGCCTGAGCCCTGTCTCTGATGGCAGGAGTATGTGGAGGTAGCCTGCTTGCCCATACCACCACTTATTATCCCCTGCATGCAGCTGAATAACTGCATGCACTGCCCCCACTGCCCCTGGGGCCCTGCTGCCCCTGTCTGAGCACTAACTCCTCTCTGCACACATCTGTCTCTCTGCTCCCTTCTCCCCACTCTGTACCTGTGTACCCCTCCTGCCCTTTCAGCAGACTAGTGCTCTTGGCTTCCCGGCTCCCCCCTGCAGGCCGCTGCCACCTGACCCTGTGCCCAAGAGACTCCAGGTAAATCTGGGCTGTACCCTGCCCTGTCACAAGACAGGTGGGAGGATTGAAGGCCATCTGCAGTTCTGATCCCTGCTCCCTGCCAGCGGTGCTCTTCATTAGGTGACCAGGGTGCCCCCCTCAGCCTTCTGACAGCCCCAGAAGCAGCAAAGGATGAGCCTCCTGTCTTGACGTCTACCACCATCTGGTGGTCAGTGGCAGGATTGCAGTAGGCCAGGGACTCCACTGTTGATCCACACCTCTCTCTCCTGAAGCATCTATCATCTGGCATGCACCCAAGCCCTCTGCTCATGCCCCCATTCTCTCCTGCCCCCCTGACTTTGCATGCTGACTTTAACCCCACTAGGGATCCCTCTGCATGTCCACTGCCCTTCGCTGTACTTTCACAGCCACTGCCCCTCTCTCTGTTCAGGCTGAGCTGGCTGACCGACCCAATCCCCCCACCCGCCCTCTGCCCGCTGACCCAGTGGTGAGGCACCTGAAGGTAACAGTTGGGGGAGAGAAGGGCACAGCCTCTCCCCCCACCTAGGGCTGTGATGCTGGTAGCTGTGGCGGTGGTGGATATGCAAGATGCCCTCTCTGTGCCTGAGGGCACATACCCAGTGGCTTCTTTAATGGTGACAGGTTTGTTTGCAGACAGGGTGACCTCTGATGCTGCCCCCAAGTTGGTGTTCCCCAGCACCAGTGCATCAGGGGTGGGCAACATGATCCCCTCCCCAAGCTGGCTCCTGCCTTCTCTCTCAGTCTCAGGGGCCTGGGAAGCCCCCACCCCCAAGGAAGCCACTGCCTGCCGACCCCCAGGGCCGGTGCCCGCCAGGTGACCTGCCTGCCCCAGGAGCTGGAAACATACCGCTGGTGGTACCCTCCAGGTAGTAAGGAGGGTGTTGCTGAGGATGGGTGAGCAGGATGAGAGATCTAGGGAAGGGGACCTCTGACCATTTTTCTTGACTTCCTGTACTCCAGGCCAGCACCCCCACCCCCAGTATCATCCTCGCTCTACCTCTGACCTCTCCTGAGGTTTTGATGCCTCCAGCCAGGATTTAGGACTTAAAGAAGCAGAATCCCCGCTGGAGTCCCCCAAGAAGGAGTGGGAGCCAGAGCCTCAACCCTGCAGTGCCCAATCATAAGGAACCAGGCACCGTGAGGCGCTGTCAAGCAGCTTCCTTGGGATCCGCCAGCATAGCTGCAGCCAGCGTTGGGGAGAGGCTGGGCAGAGGGAGGTACACAGCCTGTCTCTGCTTGGCTGCAAATAAACATGAGATCTTGGGAATGCGCCTCTGAGTTTGTCTGCTTCTGGAAGCTGGGCCGCCACGGCTGCGTGTCTAGGTATGGCCGCCAGGAGACGCTGCTTCATCAGACCAGGGCGGGAGTTAGGAAGGGTCAGTCAGAATGTTCCCCGGGACGCTCCAGGCATGCTTCTGCCCACTCTGAGATGGCGCCCAGCAATCCTGTGCCACAGGAATTGTTTGTCCCCAGTCTCCAAGTCCTCGCCCCTAATGCTGCCCAGCCCCCAGCGGCAAGCTATAGACAAACTGACCGAGCTGTCAGACCAGCGTCCCCACCCTCTGACCAGTGGCTGGGAAAAGTGGATTTAACTGGTATTCTCAGAGCCTGGAGCCGGGGCGGAGCAGGGCTGCGGCTCCCACGATCCCAAGGCCTGCACCTGCCTCCTCCCGCCCCCACCTGAGGGCTCCCGAACAAAGGTGCTTTGTACGGGCCGCCACCACCTCATGACTTTGTCGTCAGAACCAGGTCCTGCATGGGCCCCCTGCCCAGAAGGAAGGTGTGGGGTGGAAAGGCACAGGTTCCAACCCCAAAGTGGGCATCAAGGCTCTATAAGAACAGAGATGTCCCAGGAGACACCATGTCTCTTCCCCTCGCACCATCCCTAGATATGCAAAGAAACAGGGGCAATATAGAAGGTGGATGGACACACTCTGTGGATCCTGGGGTGTGCCTCGTTTTCCCCTATATGGCTGAAGGGTGTGTGCCTTTGTTTAAAATCTTCAATTTTTTTTTTTGAGATGGGGGTGGAGGGAAGGCTGGCCTTAAACTCCTAATCCTTCCTCAACCTCCCAAATGTTGAGATTACAGGCTCTACCACTACCAGCTCAGGCCTCCTAAACTTCTAATAAGGTTTTCTACCAGACACCAAAGACAAGACACCCTCCCCCCCCAAAAAAAAAAAAGTAGTAGTGCACGCTTGGAACAGTAGCACTGGGGAGCCTGAGTCAGGAGAATAGTGAGTTTGTGGCCATCCTGGGCTACACAACGGGACTCTGTCTTTAAAAAAATTAAAAATAAATAAATAAAAACACGAACAAAACACCAACAACAAACTCAGCGGAATTCGTTCCCCCCTCGCCCCCTCGCAGCGCAGTGCGGCCAGCGGGCTTAGAAACTTTGGCTAGCCAGGCGCGCTCAAGGGGTTAACAGGAGTAGGCGCTGGGTGGAGAGGAGGAGACGGGTTCTCATTGGAAGAAAGTTATCCAGGGGCGTGGCCCCAGAGTCTCCATACCCCACCCCTTTTCCACAACCCCCCCCCCTCCGCTCCACTTTGTACCTTTCTCACCCCGACTGCGAAGCGGGCCAGGACCCGCCGGACCAGACCAGACCGGACCCCGGGGGCGATGCGGCTGCTGCCCCTGCTGCAGACTGTCCTCTGGGCCGCGCTTCTCGGTTCCCCTCTGCGGGGGGGCTCCAGCCTCCGCCACCCCATCTACTGGAACTCCAGCAACCCCAGGTAGCCGGGCCGAACCGTACGAATGCCTAGTCGGGCCTGCGCGTTCCCGGGCTTTGCGCGCGCCCGCCGCTTGTTCTTTGCGCGGCGCCGCCTGAGCCCAGCCGCGCGCCGGGGCTCCTTTGTTTGAGCCGGCGGGGGAGGGGGAGGGGCGAGGCGCGCCTTGGGTCTCCCTCCCCCCCAACACCGCCCGCACGTGTTGGGGAGGTGGGGGGCGGGCGGAGGACCCCAGCCTTGAGGCTGATCGGTGGAGTCTGGGAGCGAGGAGCTGGGGGCCCTGAGTTGGCACTCCGGACCCCGCCCCCCTCGCTTCTCTTCTGGCGATCCCTAGCCTCCCGCCCGCTGAACCTACAGAATCAGGAAGGGGGGCTTTAACCTTGTGAAAGAACGTGGGTTGTTCTGTGGTTCACTAGGCCTCCACATTGGCGCTCAGTCTCCTGATCTCAGTTCGATATCTGAGCCCATCTTGGTCTTTATCGGTCCTTCTATTTCTGTTCAGTCTCAGCCCTGCCCTTCTAGGTGAATCACCTTTGGGCAAGTCGTGTGACCTCTCTAACCTCAGTTATGTCATCTGAAAAATGGGCTAATAATACCTAGCACCCTGGGAAAGTCAGGCAGGCTAACTGAGGTCATGTATGTGAAAAGAGGTGCAGGCTATACAAATACAAACGATTATGTGTTTCTCTCCTGAGCTGTCTGCCTTTGAACTTCGGTATTTTTTGCTGTTTCCATCCTCCTTCCCAATTCTCCCTCCCTCTCTGCCTTCCCCATCTGTTTTCCTTTCTGATTTTCTACTTCAGACAATCTGTGACTCTGCTCATGTATTCACTAACATTTGATAAGCACATACTGTGTGCCGGGACCTGTGCTAGGTTGCTGGGGATTAGCAATATGAGAACACCAAGACCCTGCCCTCTGGGAGTCCACAGACCCCCAGGAAAGCGATCCAAAGACAAGTCATTACGAACCAGCGCCTAGTGATAAGAGCTATTGTCCTCAAACTGAATTCTTCTATCTCGGTTCCAGACCAGTGCCTCTGAATCACTTAAGGACCAGTTAAAAATTTAGGTTCCTAGTTCCCAGCCTTGAGGTTTCTGGTTCATTCATGCAATCCACAAATATTTATTGAGCTCTGGCCTTGTGCAGGGCACTTTTCCAGGCACTGAGGATACAGTGAAACAAAATGTACTAAGGCCCCCTGTCCTTGCTCAGCTTGTGTTCTAGTAGCTCTGGGCTGAGCCCAGGAATCTTTTTTTTTTTTTTGGGTGGTGGGGAGAGGGGAATGGAGTGTGACTGGGTTTGAACTCAGCAGGGGCTTGCTTGAGCTATACCTCCAGTCCATTTTGTTCTGGTTACTTTTGGAGATGGGGTCTTGAACTATTTCCCTAGGCTGGCTTCAAACTGCATCCTCCCAATCTTAGCCTTCCAAGTAGCTAGGATTACAGGCATGAGCCACCAGTGCCCAGCCAGGAATCTTCCTTTCTAATCAGAGCTCTGATCAGGTGGTCCGTGGACCACCCATTGAGGGACACTTGGAGACCTTTCATAAATCAAACTTCACTGTGTATGTTGGGAGGGGGGAGAGGGAAGTGGTTCCTGCAGTATTTGTTACTACCAGGTGAGGGGACCACCTACTCTAGGCTGTCCTACCTTTACTGCTCCCTCAGAAGAGGATCCTAAGAAGGCTGAAGACTGGGTAATATGTGAAGGGGACTCCCCTCCATGCTTGGTACCTGGTGAAAGAAAAAAAAAAAACAGGCCAGCCATGCATAGTGATGTGTGGAGTCAGGAGAATCATTAGTTCTAGGTCAGCCTGGGCTACATTTCAAAACCTGGTCTTTAAAAAAAAAAAAAGGTACCCACCACCCCCTGCACCCACTCCCAATACCCACTCTCTCATTGTCGTTTTACCATGGAATTCCTTGCGCTGTCAGGTTGAGGTCTACAGGACAGGCTTCCTCTCTCTGTGTCTGGTACTGAGGGTCCTTACAATCCCCATCTTTAGCTGTCTATAACTGCTCTGCTGGCCTCTGTTCCCCTGCCCCTCTGCCCAAGCTTCTCGAAGCATCTCTCCACCCAGCATTTATCAAGAACAGATGCTAGCCAGGCCAGGCCCATGTGAGGCACTGGGGTGTGAGAGAGGCGGGTGGCATTGCCAGCCTGGAAAAGTAGGGTCAGCAGGTACTCCACACCCCAGTTGTGCCATGCCATAACTCCCCTTGTGCCTGCAGGCTGCTTCGAGGAGACGCCGTGGTGGAGCTGGGCCTCAACGATTACCTCGACATCTTCTGCCCCCACTATGAAAGCCCAGGGCCCCCTGAGGGCCCCGAAACCTTTACCTTATACATAGTGGACTGGCCAGGCTATGAGACCTGCCACGCAGACGGGGCGAATGCCTTCCTGCGCTGGAAGTGCTCCGTGCCCTTCGCTCCCTTGGGCCCTGTTCGATTCTCAGAGAAGATTCAGCGCTTTACACCCTTCTCCCTGGGCTTCGAGTTCTTGCCTGGAGAGACTTACTACTACATCTGTGAGTGACCAGGCCACACTGCACACCTCTTGGGGAAGGTGGGGAGAGGAGTGGGGTTTCCTGTCTTTGCCACTGGTCAAAGAGGCCTGAGGTAAAGGGAGAGGAGAGGCTGAGTGAGGAAGAGAGTTGTGGTCCCTAAGCCCAGGGGCTGGGCTGAGCCCAAGACTAAGTATGGGAACAGCTAGAGTGAGTTCATCACAGGGAGAAGAGGGTAAGAGCTGCTGGGAAGGGGGACAAGGGAGATTTGGAGAGGCACGGATGGGGCTGGCACCTGTGTGTGGCGCCAGAGGAAAGAACAGCTTTCCAGGGACTGGAGAAAGGAGAAGCTGAGAGGGTGTGAAGTAGACTAAGGCGAGGGGTGACTCCCGTGATAACTTCTTCCTTCCAATTTCCCACCAGCGGTGCCAACTCCAGAGAGTTCTGGTCAGTGCTTGAGGCTCCAAGTGTCCGTCTGCTGCAAGGAGAGCAGTAAGTGCGTAGGGGAGCTGAGATGGGAAGGAGCCCTTCTGGAGAGTCTGGGGTCCTGGGAAGGAGTGGGGAGAATCTAGGTGCATGACAGTCCGAGAGGTCCAGGTGGAGCTTTAAGCTGTCACCTCCTTCTCCCTCAATTTAGCCTTTTGGGAGCTTCTACTGCACCCTTTTTCAACCAGGCTGAGAGAATGGGGTCTCCAGGGACGGGATTCTTTAAAGCCTTAGCTGGACTGCTTGTCTTTATTTGGGAGGAGTTGGAAGTTGGGGCTTCGAAAGGATAAGGTGGATCATGGGAAAGCTGTGGCTGATTTGGGAGACCCTGGAAAATGGAAGGGCAGGGAGGAGGCTGCTGAAGAAATAGGTAGACCCATCAATGCCACCTTCTACCCTTCACAGAGTCCGAGTCAGCCCATCCTGTTGGGAGCCCTGGAGAGAGCGGCACATCTGGGTGGCGAGGGGGGCAGGCTCCCAGCCCCCTCTGTCTCTTGCTGCTACTGCTACTACCAATACTGCGTCTTCTGCGAGTTCTGTGAGCCAAGCAGACCCTCCCTGGCACCCTGAGGAGCCAGAGCCTTCCCAGGACTCCCTGTTGGAGGGGTCCCTGCCACTTGTACTGGTAATACCATGCCAGACAAACAAGATTCGAGCATTGATAGGGAAAGTCAGATGATCTGAGGTGACGCTTGAAGGTTCACCACAGGCTGAAGACAAGCCACAAAGGAGCGGAAGACAGCCCTGGGCTCCCTGGAGCACAGGCAGGACAAGCACAGAGGTTTTGCAGCTGCTTTCATGGTCCCATCCCCTCCCTGTGGAACACCAGGATTTGGTGGGATCAAATCCTTGAGCCACTAGGGGCCAAGGCTGAAGTCCTGGGGACAGGTGGATTGCTGGCCCAGGGCAAAGGCGAAGCCCTGCCATCTGTGTTCTATAGACCTCTTTCCTAGGGCAATACCTTGCCCTCCCAAGGGGGCCATTCATTTGTCTTCTGTGAAGACGGACTTGGACTTGCTATGAGGATGAATTTTATGCCGGTTTGTATTTTTATAAGTGTCTGACCAAACCCCCAATAAACCACCCATCTTTGTGTTGCCCTCCCTAACCTACTGCCCCTTGGCTCCTTCCCTGGCACCAGGACTCCCTGGGGTCTGTGCTCTCAGCTTGCCTTGGCCTGACCTCCATACCAGCTGTGTCCAGGCCATCTATGCCAGGCCTCAGTGGGCACCCCTCTGGGCAGTGTGTGGTGGGTGCCAGGAGCAGCTGTGAAGCTTGGCACCCTCTCCCACCTCCCCAGCGGGCTTCCTGTGCTGAGGAGGGGGCAGATGCTGCTGACAGCCCACTGGCTTGGGGCACTGTGCAAGCCCTGGCAGCCCCTAGAAGAGTGCTTGGGCAAAAACGAGGGGTAGTGTGCAGACAGAACCTGGGATTCAGAATGCCTGAGTCCTGAGAGCTGGACTACCCTCCGCCTCCCCCTCCCCAAGGGCACTCTGGGCGGTGCCTGGCCTAGAACTGGGAAGGTGGGGTCAGATCAAAGCCTCTTTCCCCAGCGGCCTCTTTGTTCTTGGCTTTTATAAGGAGGAGGGGGTGGGGCTGAGGAGGGAGGGCCCCCTTTGCTCTCAGCCCAACACTGTCTCTTCCCACCTCTGGTAGGTGAGGCTCTGTCTCCCCCAAGTCCAGCCAGGTCTCATTTTCTGAACTGTATCCTGGGTGGAGCCAGGGGAGGGGGCGCCGGTTCTCTTGCAGCTGTGCTCTACCCGCCCGTGTGCCCCGCAGCCTCCTCTGGCAAGGTGCCGGCCCACCTGGCACCGAGCCAGCGATCGATAGGTGGATGTTGTGCTGATTAGCTCGGCCCGGCTGCGGCAGCAAGAGGCAGCGTGTGAACATGGGGTGGGGGGAACGGGGAGGGCTCTGGGGGGTCCAGAGACCAACCAACACCGAGATGCTGGGGATTGCGAGCCCCTACCCTCTCCCCTTTCACACCTGCGTCAGACCTGGGTCCTTCTCTCCAAGGGACCGACTTCTGCTGTCATCGTTCACGTTAATTCCATGGCTCCGACTGAGGCTGGGAGCGGCGGGGAGGAAAGGGGAGAATGTGTGAGGACTGCGCCGTGGGCAGAGCAGACTGGAGTCAACCCCTTCCCCCATTCGAGGCCACTTTCAGAAAATGCCCTCTCTGTAAGTGCGTGTGCCTGCGGATTTCATGTTCAGTCCCTTTCTCCAAACCTCGATCTTTAACGAGGAGCGAGGAGATGAGGCGGCAAGGAGAGGGTAGAATCTGAGCTGAAAGAGGAGCCACGGGCTAGGTCTTCTAGTCCTGAGTTCAAGTTCCATCTTTACCATCATCCTGGAGGGTGTCTATATGTTGCCATGGAAACCGATTGTACTGCTACCTCCGTCTCTCATCAGGGAAAGCGCAGGCTAGCAAGTCGGGGGGCGACTGGTTAGCAGTCCCTGCTCTGGATTCAGAACTATGGGGGTCTCAACCTGTTCTCAGCGGCCCCAAACATCTTCCTCTTCGCTGACCAAGGCGGGCGTGCTCGCTCCCGAGTCGGGCTGACGCGCGGATCCGCCAGTGATAACGCATGTGCGAAAGAGACGCTAGGCCCAGTCTGCTTTCCCCGCACTCAGATACACAGCCCGTCTCAGTCAGACGCACGCACTTGACACGGACACACGCCCTCGCCCGCCGCCCAGCTCCCTGCAGGTGCAACGGTGGCCGCCACAGGAGCCGAACCGAGGGGTCGTAAACTCAGGCCTTTGGGCCGCAGGCGCTCAAGCCAAGCCTCCCCTCCATACATTTCTTTTTCCTCACTGCCAGAGCCCTGCGCGGATGGCAGTTTCAGGGCGAAGCACTCCCTCAAGGAGAACTAGGGCCAAGTCCTGTTAGAGCCAAGACAGGTTGAAGGTGCTGGGCAGCCTTCCGGGCACCAGGCCCTACCCACGAAAAGTCCTCAAGGCATGTTCCGGGCGCGGTTCCAAGAAGCTAGGCGGGCCTACAAGTTTTGGGGCGTCGCCGATCTCCCCTAAACTCTGCAGTGCTAGACTGCTGAGGGTGGGGCCCTCAATTTATTGGACCTGCCCTAGAAGAGTCCGAACAGATGGAAAGCTCCACTCACTTTTTTTTTTTTTTTTTTAGCTCCACTCATCTGTACCTCGCCCTGTCTCCTGACCTGAACCCACTTCCACCCGGATCCTGCTCCCCTGTCCCCTGACTCCTTTCCTTTTTCTCTGCTTTTCTTTCATTATTTACTTCTTTATTCATTCATTCAGCACATCGTGAGCTCGGATGCGCCCTTCTTTCAGTTAACCAAGCTGACTGGGGTCGTCGGGGGATCCCCAGAGGTGACGCAGTTGAAAAGTGTTCACTCTGATTTCCAAATGGCCAACAGAATTCCGAGGCCTAGGGCATGAGGTCATCAGCGATAATGCCCATTGGTTCCGGCCTAGATGTGAGGAGAGGGGTCCCCATAGCAACCGACGGTGCTTCCCAGCCCGCAGAACCTGGAGAGGGGTCGTTGTTCAAGCTGAAGTGGATGCTGGGGATGGGGCGAGGAAACTGCCTGGAGCTCAGCTTCCCAGGTTCTGCAGCCGTAGCCTACCCGTCTCTTGTCTTTCTTGAGACCCTTTTCCTCACTCAAAGTAATGGTCAGTGCCACTTAACCCAGAAAGGTTAAGTGGGGGTTATTAGCGACAGCACTGGGGTCTTGAGTGCAGAGCTGCTGCGGTGGGGAATGTCAGTTCTGAGATCCTTGTGTTCATCTGCATATCGTCTGCATCTCATTTGCATTCTCTTCATTTAAGGTCAAATTGGGCAGACATCCCCACCTCCCCACCACTGTCGCTTGTCTGTATCTGTAATCTGTCCCTTAGTGGCTCTCTAATCTATTCCTCAGTTGTCTAACTCCATGCCCCACCCCTCCTCCCACACTACACTGTCTCCTGGGGGTGGGAGGGGGCCAAACCTAGCTAAAGGATAAGGAGTCAGCCTCTCCCTCTGGATGTTTGGTGACAGATGGGGAGTTGCTGGTCTGTACTGCCTGGAGACCAAATTGGCAAAGCAAGTGGTTGGGGGGAGGTGCTGAGGCTGAGTTGAGGGTCTCCAGGGCCAAATCACCCACATGCCTGGCAGGGTGCTGGAACTAGGGATGCCTGGTTCCAGCAAGGGGCCGGCCTGCCCACCTGTCTGGTGCCAGGGCAGCTTCTTTCCTCCAATTAAACACTAATGAGGTGTCATTAACCCTTACCCTGCCTACTAGCCATCAGGTGGAGTTCAAGTTCATGGTCTCACCCTGAGGGAAGGAGAGGGAAGGAAAGCCTTTGAGGAAGCTGAGAGGAGTGAGGTCAGGGCACTGGAAGACAACAAGGCAGGGTCAGAGGTGTGAGTGACTTGCACTGGTTATCCTCTGTGGACTCCTGAGGGACTCAAGGAATGGGCACCATTGGCCAAATGCTTTTTTTTTTTTTTTTTTTGCTCATGGATTCACAAGTTTGTTTTGTTTTGTTTGTGGTATTGGTGCTTGAACTCAGGGCTTACACCTTGAGCCACTTGAGCCACTCCACCAGCCCTTTTTTGTCAAGGGTTTTTTGAGATAGGGTGTCACGAACTGTTTGCCCGGGCTGGCTTCAAACCTCAATCCTCCTGATCTCTGCCTCCTGAGTAGCTAGGATTACAGGAGTGAGCCATCGGTGCACAGTTCACACTGTTTTAAGTACCTCTACAAACTAAATACTTCTGCATGCTAGAAGCTAGGAATCCACACTTAAATGAGACAAGATCCCTTCTCTTAAGGAATCTTCATACATAGACTGACCAATGAATAAGTAGAATAGCAGGTAAGTGCTATTATAGAGCTGCATACAAAGTACTATGGGAACATGGAGAAAAAGGGTCTTCAGAGAAGGCTTTGATTTTGAAGAACAAAGTTTATGTACACAAAGTGTACAGCTGTGTCTTTGACACAGTATTGGTGTGTTTTTAGAACTATCGCTGTCTGTCTTCACAAAGGTATATGTTTTGCATTTACTTACATGTATGCAAGTGTGTGTTGTCTGACTCTCTGCATCTAGAATCCCTTCCCTGAACACATACTGTGGTTTTATTACAGATCAATGTTTGCTGTGAAGCTCTTGTGCAGATTGGCCTGAACCTGCCCTGCCCAAGGGAGGGAAGTAGAGAACTGATGCTGGCTCCATGGAAAGGGGTGGGCAAGAACTGTCTTCACACCTGGGGCCTGACACCTGACTCCCCAAGTGGCAGCAAGTCTGGCCAAGAAAGGCAAAAGGGCTGAGCCCCAGGCTGTGGTAGAGGGTGCCCAGGCCATAAACTCCCTTGCCCCCGACTCACCAGAGACACCTGGGGCTTATAGCCACCTCTCCCCACCAAGATCCCGGGCCCCCTCCCCCAGCCTGTTCATCTTCTGTCTGTGCTGAGGAGCAGGCTGGCTCAGACCTGTCTGCTGGCTCTCTCCCTTGGAGCAGATCCTTTCCAGGGGACACGGAGAGGGCTAGGGAATGCTGGGGCCCACTGGGAGGCCGTCAGATACTCCACCCTGGCCCTCTGAGGCTCTCTCCAGCGTGGATTCTCCCCACCCACTCTGAGATTCAACTTTTCTGGGCTTTGCCCAGGCATAATCATCACTGCCAGGGAGGCCCTTGACCACTAGGCGGAGGGTGGGAGCCAAAACTCTGGCAGTGAAGATGCGGTGGGGTGCCTTGTGATGCTTCTCAGAGACGTCTGACTTCTTGAAGCCGCTTTCTAGAAAGGAAACTGTTGGTGAAAGCCTGGATCTAGCGAGAGTCTGGAGGGTTAAGAAGAGGCCCTGGGGTCTGAGGAGAAGGCCAAAGACCCCTGTTTCCACACTGTGAAGAAGCAAGACTTTCTTTTGTTTCCTGTAACTTCCTCTTCCCCTCAGTCTATCTAATCTTTTCCTATATTAATCCCTACTCTCCAACCCCTTAGAACATCTCTCTGTGATGTCTATCGGGGAGGCTTGGAAATGAGAAGGGAACAGGTGTGAAAGGGAGTCTGGGGCTGGTTTAGGTGGGCAGAGCTAAGAGATAACTTCTTAATAATGATGATGAAGCTTCCATTAGTCAAGCACCTCTTGAGCCCTAAACACAGTGGTAAGTGCTTCTCAGATACTGTGGATCTTGATCCTCCTAACAAGCAATTCCTTGAGTAGTTAGGGTATTATTAACTCCATTGGACAGATGAGAAAGCAGTCCCGGAGAAAGTAAGTGAGCAGCATGGCCAGTGAGTGGGCCTTGCTGCTACTGAGGATGCCAGACTGCCTCTCCCCATCCAGTCTTTGTCACAGTACCTTCAGGAGGTATTTGCTCACCTAGTGTACCCCAGAGATGCTGCCCAGTTCCAGGCCTCTTGACTTGCTGGACTCAGCAGAGGGATCAGGGCGTATCTAGAACCTGAGTTATTACATCCTGACCCCACCAGCCAAGCCCTGCATTCTAATTTTCTACGTCCCTAGACCACACTCAAGAGCACCGCATTCTCTGCTGCCCAGTCATGTAGTCTGTGACTACTCAAGAAGGTAGCACACTGCAGAGCCATATGGACACACATTCTTGGAAGTCAGAGTCACTTGCATTACCCTCCTTGTTGGCACCCAGGAGTCCATGTTAGGACTACAGCAGCAGCCTGCCTGGTCCAGGGCACACACATGGGCCCATGCAAGGTGTGGACGGAACCTGTGAATATTTCATGTCTGGAGCTGGCGGCTGCCTCTCCTGCTCACACGTGTGCCTGATCTTCCTTCTCACAGGCTCCTTGTTTATTTGTTTAATGAATTATTTATACAGCCCCCCCTTTCCCTCCTGGCCTCCCCCTCCTCCAGGCCCTAGTCTCCATGATTTATTAAACGCAGCTCAGCCCTGTGGTTGCCACCCGCTGTCCCTGGAGCTGCCTTGGGCCACACAGCCTGAGAGCTCCCTCTGCTCCAGACCTGCTCAGCTCCCTGATTCCTTGGACCTTAGGGAGAGGGAAGAATGAGGCACTGTGTCAGAGAACTCCCAGGAGCCCTGAGCTTAGTGCTCCTGGAGAGATCATGACAGTCAGCCCTGTTCTGGCAACCCAAGGTCAGTAGGAATGGAAGCTAGAGACTGCAGGTGAGGAGAAAGGAAGCCTGAGGCTCAGAGAGAAGACCAGGCTTGTGGAGACAACCCAGCCTCCGCAGAGGCCCTTACCCTACAAGCAGTCAATCAAGGCCAGGTCTGTGCACCAGTGGTTCTCACCATAGGCTATGACACACTAGAGGAGAGGAAATCAAGAAATCAATGTTATGAGTCTGAAGCAGCTTTTTATTTCATTATTTTAAAAATTTTGAGATCTTTAGTAAGGATAAGTATTGCTTCATGAAACTTACTATTTCCTTTTGTATTCAGTAAATGTGTGTGTATGCACTGGATTTCGATGTCAAATATACATCCTAGTTAGGAAAGAGTTGAGTCACAGGTATAAATAAAAGCCTAGACCCCACTGATAAAGGCCTGGGTCCTTCTATAACCCAAATGCCACAGAGAGAGGTCTAGACTTTAAGATTGGGTCCCAAGCATGTGGACAGTAGGCAGATCTTTTTTATTAATTTATTTTTTTAGTAGTACTGGTGATTGAACTCAGGAGCTCAAGCTTGCTAGGCAGGGGACACTCTCCAGCCCCAGTAGCCAAACCTTATACACAGAGACCTAGTCTTCAGAGAATCCTAGACCCCCTGAGTAGAGGCCTTCAGACAGGTCTAGGTATTATAGCTGGAGGTGCACATCTGTAGACAGAACTGCCACATTACAATTGTGCAGTTTGTGCATGGCACAAAGGAGCCACACAAAGGGCAAGAGGTGGCTGACTGACATCAGCCCAGGCTCCCTCACTAAGATGGGAAGACACATAGAGCTACCTCCCACTGAAGGAAGCAACACCTTTGTTTTTACACAAGGCCATTGCTTGCCAAGAGATGCACCCTAAAGGAACAGAGTCCACATAGAGGGGTGCTTTTTGTAATCTGCAAAAAGGCCCAAATCAGCTGGCAGCCTCATGGACAGAGGCCTAGATACCAGAGTGCCAGATTCCATGGCAGGCCTAGGCCCCACAGAGAATAAATATTTCCACTTAAAAACCAGGGCTGGGGTTATGGTTCAAGTGGTAGAACATTTGCCCACTAAGCACAAGGACCTGAGTTCAAACCTTAGTACCTCAAAAACAAAACAAAACCTAAAACCAGATTTAGGCCCTATAGACAGAGATGTTTAAACCTCCAGAGAGGGCTCCAGATTCAAGGGAGAAGGGGCTCAGTTATTATTGGAGGGAGCATGTGGGGTGCTAGATTCTAAAAAGGAGCATCTGGGCCCTATAGTAAAGTCCGAATCTTTAAGCAGGGACATAGTGTTTCAAAAATGGAATCTAAAACCCTGGACCAAATCAGTAAGCTCCCATTCACTGTGTGTAGGGACAGCCTCTCTGCCAACTTGGGCCCTACAGAGAGAAGCCTACCTTTGTGGAACAGGGGGAGTATGGATAGCAGGGGAGAGGGCTGGGATTTGTAGCCCCTGGAGTAGGCAGGTTAGCATCATTTGAGTGAAACAAATCTCCCTGGGGTTGAAGAGTCTGAGGGCAGGGAGAGCTGTTTGCAAAGTCTCCCACTCCCATCCCAAGGGGCCTAATTTATTTTCTGGCTCCTGAGAAGACAGAAGACATCTCCTGGGGTAGAGAGGAGCCCAAGAGGACAAAGCCTGCTCTTGTCTGGCAGCAACTAGGTGGAGAGCCTACAGTGGATGGAACTGTCCCTCTCTCAAACCCAGCCTCTGACACAGGCTTGTGATCAGGACCCAAGGATAAGCAGATGGAGGGTGCCTATATGTCTGTCCCCTCTCCTAAACCACAGTAGCAAAACAGCATCCTGCCTGCCTGTTTGGATACAGGTGGTTGTCATAGGTCCTGAGAACCAGTCAGGCCTGGTTATACCTAGTCACTCTTAGTCTGGGCTTCTCTAAATGAGAAGAGATAAAGGGTGGATGCTCTCTATGTCTGGATTCTGGACCCTTCTAAATTTCTACTTCCTAGGAAAAGAAGTATGAAGTATGGGTGTGTTAAAGGGTACATGTGGGTTTGTATGTGAGTCATTGTGTGTGTGTGTGTGTGCGTGTATATGTGTCTGGGTTGGGTGCTTTTATGTCTCTGTGCTTGCCTATGGGCCTGTGTTTCTACAGCTCTCTAGTTTTCTGGTTTTTTTGGGGGGGGAGAGTAGGTTTCTATACTGGGCTTTGAACTCAAGGCTTTCTGCTTGCTAGGCAGGCACTCTAACCTGGCTTGAGCAACACCTTCAAATCTAAGGTAGCATCTTTACCTGTGTGTCTGTCTGTGTGTTGAGTGCCTGTGTTTATAGGTTCTCTGTGTCTGGATGTTATGAGTCTTCTTTTCTGAACATGTATGTGTGTTTGGATGTCCCTATGAGAACAATGACTGTGATGAGAGCTGGAATACAGGTGCTCTGCCCTGTGTCAGCGTTTATGGGAACAGGAGTGAAAAAGCCCGAGGACATCACTGGGGGCACCGGGAGGGGCCCTGAGAAGCCCTTTGTGGATGTGCCAGGAAAGCCTGCTTGGGTCCCTCCTGCACCTTTGGCCCAGGCCCGCCAAAGGCCTTCTTGCATTCAGTACTGACATTTGTGTGTGTGTATGGGGGGAGGAGGGGCTGTGCTCCCATACTCCAGCTCCCAAAAAAAACAAGCCTTGTGATCACCTAGGGGCTTCAGGTCGCCAACTGTCAGGTCCTCGGTGCCAACTGAGGGCTTCTCCACCACCGTTCCGTGACCGTATACCTGACCCCTCAGGCACATGATAAGGGGGAGAATGCAGGGAACAGAAGGCCCTGATTGTTCAGACAGGAAGAGGGTCTAGTCCTACTCATTCAGAGGTGAACTCTAGCTCAACACTTCTTCACTCCATTTCAGGAATGAATGGGCCTACGAGATGAAGATCCCGTTTTGGGCTCCCAAGTCCTTCTGGGAACTCCAGCTTGGGTAGCAAAAACGCACAGGACCAGTTGTGGCAAACAACCTAAGAGCCGAGGCATGCAGTACGTTCCTGACTGGGCAGCAAGATCCCTACCTCCCACGCGCTGCGCGCCCCCGACGCAAATGGGGCGTGGCCTGGCGGGAGCGCGCCAGGGGCGGGGCTTCGGGGGCGCGCCCAGGAGGGCGGAGGTAAGGGCTGTGGGCGTGGCCTAACTCTGGGGGCTGGCGGCAGCGGCAGCAGGGAGCTGGGAAGCTGAGAAGCCGGGAGTGCGGGGCTCAGTCGGGGGGCGGCGGCGGCGGCGGCTCCGGGGATGGCGGCGGCTCCGCTGCTGCTGCTGCTGCTGCTCGTGCCCGTGCCGCTGCTGCCGCTGCTGGCCCAGGGGCCCGGAGGGGCGCTGGGAAACCGGCATGCGGTGTACTGGAACAGCTCCAACCAGCAGTGAGTCGGGGGGCCTGGAGCCCGTGCGCCCCGTGTCAGTGAGAGGGGGAGCTGGTGGGCCCGGGAAGTCCTGGGGGAACCCAAGGTTGGAGTCCTGGGAGCTCAAACTGGGGGTGGGAAACAAGGAAGCCACTCTGTGGGCGTCTGTGAAACTCGGGGGTGTCTGAGAGAGGCTGTTGGGGTATAGTAAGGAGCGCTCAGACCATGCGGGGGAGGCTGCTGGGGGCCCCAAACCCATCTTGGCCTCTCTCCACACCCGCTGCTAGAATAGCGTGCCCCTGTACCATAGTTCCCCATCTTCACTCCCTTTGGCTGGGTTGGGGTTTGAGCGTACCGGCGTGCTAGGGGTAGGCAGCCGCATTTGGGGGCCCAGGGATGACCCGTTTTCAGCCATGAGTGTTTCAAGAGATTCTGTCTAAGACTCTTGCTTTAAAAAGTGGGGTCCAGAGCTGAGGCAGGAAGTCCAACCCAACGCCTCCCCAGAACGAAGGGGAATGGGTTGCCCTGGTTGTGTAGATTAACCCCGCTGGGGTGGGCTGGGGCTGGACCGCCGAGTTGGGGGTCCCTGGGAGTGCTGCTTGGTTAGGATGGGAACGTAGGTACTGGTAACAGGGAAGAAGGCAGAGAGATGTCGGTGTGTCACACACACACACACACACACACACCCGAGCTGGGGACGGCGTATGGCACCAAGTGTGAGCGGGCGTGCGCGGCTGTCAATGTGCGTGTGTGTCTGAGTGTGATTTGTGTGTCTGCGTCGGCGATCGTCTAGGGATGGGAGCGGGCGGCGGGTCGGGGAGGGGGCTGCGGTCGGTGTCCGCGTGGCCGGCCTCGTCTGGGTTGGGGTGGCTATTGGCGCCGCCGCGGTCTGGGCGGGTGTCGGGGCAGCCGTGCGGTTTCCCGGGGTGTGTGGAGCGGCGGCCGGGTGCCGCCTGCGGGGCCGGGTCTTAATTCTGCTCAGTCCTTGCTGCCCTTGTGTTATCCTGGCCGAGCCGCCGTGTGTATCACCCTGGCTGCCTCGGTGTGTGTGTCAGTGTGTTGGTGGGGGGGGGATCCCTGGGGACGCGGGGGTCACTGTCACACCTGCCCGGGCGGTGGCAGCAGCACCGCCTCTAGCTTCCTACCCCGGGGGCCTAGCCTGGAGCAAATGGCGAGACCCCGGGGGAGGGGACCAGGAGGGCCTGGTGGCCGCGACCCCCAACCTTCCGGGGGGAGGGGCTGCCGTTCGCCGCTCCGCTCTTTGTTGTTTGGGGCTCTGCGCCTCCCCCTTTCTCCCTCCTCGCGCCCAGAGTGTCAGACTGGGGGTGGGGATGAGCCAACGACGCCCCCCTCTCGCTTCCCATGGAAACCTCGGGGGTGGGGATGCGGCCCCTCCTCCTCCCTCCCCCCCACCCCCGGAGCGGGACTCGGAGATCTCCGGGGGGCGCTGAGGGCTGACTCCTCTCCTCTATCTAGCTTGTCCCCCTCCCCAGACTCACTCTTCCGACCCCCGCCCTGCTAGAGTCTGGCAGGGAGTGAAGAGCTCTCAGGTGAGGGACCCAGGTGCCTCCCCCATGTTTTTAGGGGAAGCTGGAGATTAGGAGATACAAGAATAGCCTTGAGGGAGGGGTGTTGATCAGGTTCCCCTCCCCCACATACACCTGGGCGCAGGTGAAAGCCCCGGAAGGGGGTAGGGGAACGGGGTTTCGGTCCTCTCCACTCCCGTGCGGGCCGGGACCGGCAGAGGTAGGAGGGGGCTCACACTCGGCCAAGAGGCCGCCGCCGCCCTCGCCTTTGCTTCCCTGGCCTTTGTTGCCGCTGCGCCCGGGCTCCCCGGCTCCCTCACTGCGGCAGCCGCGGCCCCATAAATCGTGAGAGCGACGTGCTCCGGAGCCGGGAGTGGAGAGGGCCTGGGAGCTGGGGGCGGGGCCGGGCCCTGACACAGGCTCCCGCACCCCCTCCCCTCCAGTCACGTGAGCAGGGCTCCTGTATTCTACCTCCCATCACGTGCGGAGGGTCTCTACCCCTTGGGGTCACGTGGGGAGGGTCTTACGACCCCGCCTCCTGGGGTCACGTGGGAGGGTGCTGGTGGGACACGTGCAGCGGCCTCCTTTGACAGACTTGGGGGTAGTGCCCAGTGGCGGCTACCTACACCTCTTTACTCCCCCACACCCCCGTTCAGCCCCTCCCTTTAATCCCCTGAAATAGGAGAAACCTGTTCCCAATCTGGCCCAGAAACTTGGGGGGGGCATTCTATTGCGGGGAAGCCTGAGAGTGTGAGGTCGAGGGGTCCTCTGAGCCCGGAATTGAAATTGGAGGGAGGCTGAGGGCCAAATATATGCCCTCTGCCCGTGCTTCATTTCTTTGCAGAACTGAGCAAAGGTGTGTTGGTTCTCGACCCTGTCGAAAGAGCCTCAAGAACGTGTTTCTCTAGCGATCTCTCCACTTGTCTCTGATCTCTGAAACGGTTCTGTTGCCGATCTCTTCCATTCATTCAACAAATATTTGAGGCTCTACTACGTCCCTTATATGGCCTCTGTTTTCTCCCAGTCGCTGAATCTCTGCCCTACATCCTCTTGTGTCTCTGATTATTTCCTTTGCGTCTCTCTGATCTCCATCTCCTCTGTTGTGGGCCTTCCCTGGATCGGCCTCTAGGTCTTTCCCGTTTTCCAAGTCTCCCCTCCGTCCTCGTTCTTTTCCCTCCCTCTCTCGGTTTCTGGCCTCCTCTCTCCCTTTCTCGCTGTGTCTCTCTCCCCTCCTTTCCTCTCGCAGTGAATCCTGTCACTCTTAATCTCCCCTCTCCGTGTGTGTCTCCCTGTCACTCCATCTCTGTGTGTCTTGCTTTCGGCGGGTCTTTCGCTCCTCTCCGCCGCTGCAGATCAATAAACCTTCGCCGCCGCCGCCGCTGTCGCAGGGATGACGGGCGGGGGTGTCGGGCGCATTGATTCTTCTCCCCCCGACGCAGTCTGGGGAAGCCCCAGGCCCAGAACCCAGCTAGCCAGACTAGACCCGTGGGATACAGAGGTCTAGGGCGACTGAGGGGCTCGGGGGTGTCAGCGTGCACACGCCGCCCCGCGATCGTTTATGCCTTCTCCCCGCCAAGTACCGGCGCGCGGACCCCACGCCGCGCACACGTGGTCCGGCCTCGCCTGCTGGAGCGAGCGCCGCGCAGCCTCGGGGGCGCGCGCTAGAGGAAAGAACCTGGTTTCTACATTCCTCCTCCACTCCCTTAACTTGTATCCTGGAGTCTAAGGCAGGGGACAGGGATTTAACAAGTTCTGGGGCCCTTGAGACCCTTATCTTACTCCCTGGTCTTATTACACACCCTGTTTACCTGCTCCTAATTGCCCCGGGGGGACAGGTTTGCTCCTTCCCCGCTCTCCCGTCGCCCATCCTGCTACCTCCGCGGACACTCAGGGCTGAGTGGGGCCAGGCTCAGGAAGGCGGGGCACTGAAGGAGCGAAGGAGAGGGATCGGGATGCGCCCTAGAGCGGAGCGAGCCAGCAAAATCCAAATAAACGGGTGAGGGGCACCCCCTCTAGGAGAGCTGTATCAATATTCGCCTTTCTGCGGGAGAAGTGGGAAGCAAGAAGGGGATGAAATGGGGGGAAGAATAGCTATCTGAAGGAGCGGTGCAACCCAGTCCTACATCCCAGCCCCACCCGCGGGGGGTGGGACCCTGGAGGCGGGGTTAGCTGCGGAGCTCTGCTGGGGCCTAGCGGTACCTCCCTCTTCACTGCCAGGCGAGGGAGGATGACAGATTCAATTAAAGTGTCCAAGCCAAGCAGACAGGTCGTGTCTCCTAGGAGTTGTGGCTTGAGATTCCTGGCACCCAGCCCTTCTGCCCCCTGTCCACTAGATACCAACTGGACATAACCATCCCGCCAGCAAGTCTTTCTCCCACATGCTCAGCTTTGGGAAGGTGCACATTTCAGGGGCTTTTTCTGCCACCCAGAACAGAGATAGGTAAGAGGTGGCTTCTCTTTCCTTGTGGTCACCTGGCAACCTTTTTTATAAGGCTGTTCCACCCTGCTGAGGAAACTGAGGTACCTGTAGGAATATCTGGCTTGCTCCCTGCTGTAATGGGGTGTGTGGTAGGAGGAACTGGGCGTTGCGGCAGGGAGGGGCTGCTTTAGAATGAGACTGGAAACATGGGTGAGGCCCAAGGACAGAGGCCCCAGTGTGGTTATGAAGCTGCTCCAACTCTGGCACTCTATACTGACAGCCCCCTCCCCAAAGCCTGAGGGGAGGAACAGGAGACTATGGGGTTGGAATGGACAGGCAAGCTTGAGGTGGCGGCTGGGAGCCAGGCCTGGTCTAACCCGTTTTCCTGCTCCCAGTGCCTCAGGCCGAGGACTCCTGCCCACCTGAGTGCCAGGACCAGGGAGGGGCCTGAGTGACCCATCACTCCCATGGGAACAAAGTAGGACTGTTGGTATTCATGATGAGTCAAGGAGGCTGTGCCCATTCTAACTGGGGTGCCCAGACACCAACTCTCACCTGTCTGCCTCACTACCAGGCATGGAAGGGGGTACTGGGAAGGGGGCAGCTTAGACCAAACTAAGGAAGTAGGGTAAACTGGGGAGGGACCCTCAAGGCCCCATCCCATGCAGAGGCCTCCAAGCTCATTTCCCTAATGGATCTAATTACTGTTTGTGGAACTGGGTGGGACTTGGAGTGCCAGTCCCTCCCCTCAAGGAGTTCCCAGGGACTAGGGACCCCTGCAGTGGTTTGACAATTTGGCAGGTACCCCATGTCTTCCTGTGTCCGTTGCTCTCTCATGTTTCTGCCAACATGTATGAACTTACCCTGAGAACATTAGGGGATACTTCTGCCCTCTCCTCCAAATTTCTTTCTCCATTTAAAGGTTCCTCCCTTCCCCACACCACTCAGGACCACCCCTGAGAGTTTCAGACCAACACTTTGTTGGTGACTAGAAAGGCAGGTGGGGATTACTAGGGACCCAGCATCTGCTTCTCTGTCCCAGGGACTGATCTGGAAAGTGAGAGGCACAGCCATTTTATCTAGGTACCCACTCATCTACCATTGTTATGAGGGACAGTAGCATCCAGGTGGAGGAGAGGTTTGTAATGAGACAAGTTTTGGCTAGTTGGCAGGATGCCACGTGGGGCCTTAGTGCTGACTCCCTTAGCTCCCTGATTTGTTGTATTAAGGACCTAATTGTCCATGGTTTCAATGGTGAAGGCAAATGGGACTAGAAGTACAAAGGTCAGAGATACTGTCATATGGAAAAGGCAGGGAGAGACCCTGAGATTGCTGGGGCCAACCAATACTGACATGCGGCTCAGCACACATGAACCCAGCTGTTCTATGTGCATGCCGCCTAGGAGTGGGCGGTGGACATTTTTGTGTGTGTGCCACAGAACTTGTGCATGTATATGCATGAAGCGCCATACATGCGTATGTAAGGGCAGGTCCTGTCGGACTGGCCTTGGGGGCGGACTGACAGCTGCAGGGAAGCATGCTGGGAGAAGCGATGGTGGGCGTGAGTCCCACAAAAGGGAACCCTCTCCTTCCACCCTTCACTTCCATCCCTTCAGTCCCTCCTCCCGGCTGGTGAATTGTGGGGAATGGACCGAAGAAATCCGGGCCTGGGTCAGGGAGTCGTTGGGGCCTGCGCCGTTTCTGTGGCAACCAAAGCGTATGTTCCCTTCTTCCCTCCGCCCCTCTCCCTCGCCTCTTTTCCTTGGGAGGCAGGTCGGGCTTCCCTGCACCTTTGCTACCCTCTGGTGGCCATCAGGAGAAAGACAGGCCAAAAAGGCGAGGGCACGGAAGGCTAGAGAAGGGACAGGCGGCACTAGGGCCCTGGGGACAGACAGGGGCGGCTGAGAAGAGAGGAAGCTCGGAGGAAAAGTCGGGAGACTCCGGGGACCCTAGGGAAGGTCTGCGGAGCGGTGACGGTCGGCGTTGGGGTTTCTTCTCTGACCCGCTTCCTTTCCCCACAGCCTGCGGCGAGAGGGCTACACGGTGCAGGTGAACGTGAACGACTATCTGGATATTTACTGCCCACACTACAACAGCTCAGGGGTGGGCCCCGGGGCCGGGCCCGGGCCGGGCGGCGGGGTGGAGCAGTACGTGCTGTACATGGTGAGCCGCAGCGGCTATCGCACGTGTAACGCCAGCCAAGGCTTCAAGCGCTGGGAGTGCAATCGGCCGCACGCCCCGCATAGCCCCATCAAGTTCTCGGAGAAGTTCCAGCGCTACAGCGCCTTTTCGCTGGGCTACGAGTTCCACGCCGGCCACGAGTACTACTACATCTGTGAGTGACAGATGCGGGCGGTCGGGACACAGAAGTTAGTCTGAGTGACAGCCAGGGTGGAGTCCCGTGAGTGGGACTGGAGGAGGGTTGGGGGGCGGCCGATGCGGGCGCGAGGCCTCAGAGGGTGGGAGTGAGACCTTAGGGTAAGGCGTGACATTAGAGCCTTCAGGGTTTCAGCTCAGGCGGGGCCGTAAGGCTAAGAGGGGTTTAGTGACCGTCCCAAGTTGGGGCCGCACAGTGTTGCTGTGAGGGACATTCTGGATCGGGGCTTCTAAAGCTGATTACGGAGCCCCAGGGACCAGTGTTCAAAGGGTAGGGGAGCTACTGAAGGAGGTGGCCCAAGGGGCGCAGTGTGCAGTGGGTGAGGAGAGGCACCAATTGGGCGAAAGCAACTCAGTCCCAGTCTCTTCCCCAGCTACGCCCACCCACAACCTGCACTGGAAGTGTCTAAGGATGAAGGTGTTCGTCTGCTGCGCCTCCAGTGAGTATCGTCAGCTCCCAGCCTCGCCCCCACCCTTGGCTCCCCTGCTTTGGGTTTCCCCTGGCTTCCTGGGGGTGGTGGCGGAGGGCACAGGCAAGGGGGGCTTGCTCTCCAGCTGTAGCAGGGGGAGGGGGGTCCTGGCCCTGACTCTCCCCTCCTCTCTCCCCACCCGCACCCCACCCCGCAGCATCGCACTCCGGGGAGAAGCCGGTCCCCACTCTCCCCCAGTTCACCATGGGCCCCAATGTGAAGATCAACGTGTTGGGTGAGTCTGCGCAGCGCCCTCTGGTGGCCACTGCTGGAACCGCAGCCCCCTTCCTGGTGCCTGCTCAATTCGCATGACTTTCCCTGGGACACCTATCCTTCCTGCCCCATGGGTGGTCACGTCCCTGGCTCCACTGCTACTGCCGCTGCCGCGTGCCCCCGCCCTGGCGCGCGGCCCAGCCCTCACCAATCTGTCTATTCATCTGTCCACAGAAGACTTTGAGGGAGACAACCCCCAAGTGCCCAAGCTTGAGAAGAGCATCAGCGGGACCAGCCCCAAGCGGGAACACCTGCCCCTGGCCGTGGGCATCGCCTTCTTCCTCATGACACTCTTGGCCTCCTAGCTCTGCCCCCTCCCGTGGCAGGGAGAGATGGGACGGGGTTGAGAAGGAGCAGGGAGCCTTTGACCTCTCCAAGGGAAGCCTAGATGTGGGACCTACACCCCTCCTCCCATGGCTGGAAGTGGGGTCTGCACCATACATCTGTGCCGCCCCCCTACCCCCTCCCTCCAGGTAGGGTACTGTAGTGGATTAGGCACAGGTGTCACACAGGTGTTCCACAAGTCCCAGGTGGCTTTGTGGCTTTGGTAATGTTCCTTCCAAACTTGGGGTCATAAAGGGCAGTGCTCAGAGCTCCCTGACCCTTGGTGCCCTCCCCCTTTCTCCCACCAGAGAGACAAATACGCCCCAGAGAGAGCAAAATCGAAGCATGGGAGGTGTCCTTATCACTCTCCTCCAGGGCAGAACATGGGGAGGGGACTAGAGGGGTGAGGGGGTAGCGCTGCCTGCTGCCCCTTCCCCTGTTTACAGCAATAAGCACGTCCTCCTCCCCCTACTCCCACTTACAGGATTGTGGTTGGATTGGGATTGAATCCAAGTTTACAAACAAACACCCCTGGGGAGGCAGGCAGTAGACAGGGGTGGCAAGGGGTGGGCACTGGGGTTCCAGGCAGGCATGTACAGACTCTATATCTCTATATAATGTACAGACAGAGTCCCTCTCTCTCCTTACCCATCCTTTCTCAAATTCCCCTCCAGCTTTAGACCCTTCCCCACCAGGCTAGGCCCCCCCAGGGGACCCCCGGCCCCTCTTTTGTCTTCTGTGAAGACAGGACCTATGCAACGCACAGACACTTTTGGAGACCGTGAGACAACGCCCCTCCCTTCCAGCCCTGAGCCGGGAACCAACACCCAGGACCTTGCCCTGCCCACCCTATGTGGTCCCCACCCATCCTGGGCCTTTTTCAAGTGCTTTGGCTGTGACTTTCATACTCTGCTCTTAGTCTAAAAAAATAAACTGGAGATAAAAATAACTGAGTGCGTGTGATTTCAAGGGGCCATCACCCTCCTGTTTCACTGGCTAAATCTCACAGGGCACAGGGCCTGAGGCAGGGAGGGATTCTAGGCCAAAGAGTCCACAGAGCACCTTGTTCTATGGCTTGTCTTCTTTGAGAGAGGCAGCTCTGGGAGCCACAGGGGCTTCAAGCTGAGCCTGGTTGACTTTGGGCAAATTCCTTAACCTCTCTGGGCTCAGGTTCCCATCAGAAACACTGGGCTATGCTACTTATCTCTCAGGGCTGGTGTAAGGATTAAATGATGGGGAGAGATAAAGGCTCAATCAATGATGGTGTTCTCCTCTTCTCATTCCATGCTATAATCAGGGGTTCTTAGCTGGGGTCTGGATTTCAGGGGATTTTGTGAACCTAGATAGGAAAAAAAAAAATTACATCTTTATTTTCACTCGCCTGTAACAAATTTAACATTCTATTATGTACTAGGGCAAGAAGCCACAATAGTGTTAATGGTGCCTGTGACTGTAACCAACAGAAATCACAGATGTTTTCAGACTATTACAGTTGTTGAAGATATCTCACATCATTTATGTGCATCACTACTTTGAAATGATCATAGTTGTTAGACCTTCTTTGTTTTTGATGTGTTAATAAAGAAGCATATATATTACTAGGCCAAAAATGTAATGTTTTGATAACTGTGTTTCAATATAATTGGTTTCTCTTATAACCCTTTGTAATTTTATTCATTTAAACACATTATGTCAGCCAGGCATGATGGAGCACACCTGTAATCCCAGCACTTGGGAGGTGGAGGCAGGAGGATCATGAGTTTGAGGCCAGCCTGGGCTACATAGTGAGATGCCTCAAAAAACCAACAAAAAAACATGCCCATTGCTCGAGCTGGGGCTGCATCCATCAGGAGAGCAGAGGGGACAGAGGCGAAAGATGGGTGAAACAGTAAAAGTGTGCTTCTCAGGAACCCAAGCTGGGTAAGGTCAGGAGAGCACTTCATAGGGGGTAAGGGCAGGGGCTGAGCTAAGAGCCCTGGTCCAGGCCTTCTCATGGCTAAGCTGTGCACTCAGGGACTCCATCACACCAGGTTCTCTAATTGGCACTGTGTGAGCAGGCTAGATCCTGGGTGAGTACCACCTCCTATGTGCCCCTTTGGCTCTTGTCAGCTGTATTGAGCAAGCCTTTGGTGACAGGGTCTGTGTTTTCTTTCCTTCTGTATTCATAAGACGTGTAAATGGGATCTCAGCTGGATTCTGGAGAGTCTGGTGGAACAGGGATGGCTGGGGGTGGAGGACAGGCAGGGAAAGAACAGGGGTAGGCAGCAGACCAGTCTGAGACTCCCTTTGGGAGATAAGGCTGAAAAGGTGGGCTCACAGGCTGATGGACTGACTCAAGTAATAGCACACCTGCCTAGCAATTACTAGACCCTAAGTTCAACCTCCAGTACCATCAAAAAAATAAATAAATAAAAATTTAAAAACAGGTTCAGCCATCCAAATGTCCATGTATTCATCGACATTAATTGAGCACCTGCCAAGCGCCAGGCCCTGTCCTGAAGACTACAGGTACAAAGAAGCCACAGCCTCTGTCCTTAACTAAGCTCCTAATTTGCTGGGCATGGTGGTCACACCTGTAATCCCAGCACTCAGAAGGCCGAGGGAGGAGGATCCAAAGTTGTAGGTGAGCTACATAGGGAAGACCCTCTTCTCAAAAAATAAATAGTTGGGTGCCAATGGCTCTCACCTATAATCCTAGCTACTCAGGAGGCAAAGATCAGGAGGATCGTGGTTCAAAGCCAGCCTGGGCAAATAGTTCAAGAGACCCTATCTTGAAAAAACCCTTCACAAAAAAAAGGGCTGGTGGAGTGACTCAAGGTGAAGGCCCTGAGTTCAAACCCTAGTACTGCAATCTGTCAATAAATAAATTAAAAATAACAAAAAAGTTCCTAATTTAGTATACGTTATTGTGTGAGCAGAAATCAGTAACGTGCGTGTGTGCACACACACATGGAGCAATATAGTCAGATCTTACACCGTTAAACGCCAGGGGCTGTGAGAACACCAAGGGAAAAACACACCCTGTCTGGGGACATAGGGAGGAGGTACAGAGACTTTGTGTTTTAATGGACAGAATCTTGAAGGCCTTGCAGATGAGGGGTGGAGATTTGTCCCACGAAGGAGCCATGGCAGTAGGCCTAGACTGCAGGCTCCCTTACATCCCAGGGCCGGGTGGAACAGGGGCTGGTGGCTGACATGGCCAGGGCCTTACGGATTCAAAAATCCAGAAATGGTAAGACTGGGAAAGGGCCAGGCATTTGAGAACAAGAGCTAAAACCAAGTTTCATTTACTGAGCACTTACTATGTGCTGGGCACTGTGCCCTTTAAGCCTTACCACCACAATAACACCTACAAGTGTCTAAACGTTCCTTGACTAGGGTCACACAGCCTGCAAGTGGTAGAATTAAATGGATCTCAAGGGGTGCAGCTCAGTGGAAGAGCACTAACCTAGCATGTGTGAGGCCCTGACTTCAGTCCCTAGCACTGCAAAAAACACAGTAACAGCAACAAAAAGTGTGTCTGACTGTCACCATGTCCTAACCACTGGAGCCTGCAACACACTTAGAATTGTTTCCCACAAATCCTGACTGCCTCCCCTTGTGTCCTAAGCCTCACCCCCTCCTGCCGTGCTACTTGGAGTTACTAAATAAAGACATCAAAGGGCTCAGGTCAGGATTGGGGTGAGCCATCCAAACCCCTCATTTCACAGGTGGGACAGCTGAGGCTCAGAGAAGCAAGTGACTTGCCCACAGGCAATTCAGGTGTCTAGGGCAGAGCCAGTACTGGAGCTCAGGGGTCCTGAGTCCCTGCATTTTCTTCCATCACACTGAGATGCCCCGAAAAGGAAGAGTCACATCTGAGAAATTGAAAGCTTGTACTCTGCAGCAAGCAGAGGCAAGGAGGAAGTACCACCACCACCACCCACCCACCCAGGGAACCTCAGGGGTCCTAATGGACCTTCCCCTCACTCAGGTCCTTAGTTCCCACAGCAGATATGGGGGACTGGAGAGGGGGCTAGGCACTTAGAAGAACAGACCCTGAGCCAGCCTGGCACAGGGCCCCTGCTTTGGGACACCAAGGTCTGCACAGCCCAAGGTCTCCTGGCAGAGGCAGTGGTGAGACAGCTCAGTGATAAGGCCCAAGAGAGAGAGAGTAGTGGAGAGAAGGAAGCAGACCCATTCTGCTCTAAATCGGCTACAGCAGAGCTGAAGAGAAACAGCTTCAGGTGTGGGACTGAGCAAGATGGCAATAGGGTAACAGCTGGTGAAGGGGAAGCCAGACTGAGCCAACTCCTTCTGACAGTCCCACCCCAGCACCTGGGGTGCCCTTAGAGCCTGCTGGTGGCTGCCAGATGGCACCCCAGGGCCTGGACATTCTGCTCATCATGCTCCCCCCTCCCCAAAGCACTGGGTCCTGTAGTTAGGGAAGTGCGAGGTAGTGAGCCGACCCCACCCCCAGACCAGAGAGCCGGCTCCAGATGGCAGGGTCTTCTTCCTCCTGTGGTCTGCTCTGGCTGCCTCAGCTTGGGCAGATTGGGTCTCAAACAAGAGGGGTCACATCAACACATGCTGGCTTTGCTAGGGGATTCTCACAGGTAGCACCCTAGACTCAGAATTCACACACCCCTCTCCCCTTCCTGTCCTGGGGTGGGTGGACAACAGACAACAGCCACAACAGACAAATGAGCACAGCGTTAGGCTCTGGGAGTGAGGTTCAGTGTCCAGTGTCCTCCCCTTCTGGCCCAGCCAGTTAAGCACACTCAGGGTGGGGAAAGGCAGAGCTATTTGTAACCTAGGCTGGGTCTAAGCCCTGGCAGCCCAGGGCCTACAGGGCTGCTCCACATCCAGCAAGTGGCCCAACATCCCAGATGGTGCTGCCAGGGTGTGAGTGGAGCTTGGGAAGTGGGAGGTGATTGTCCACCGTTGGGAAGGCAGGGGATTGCACTGCAGGATTCCCTGTGCTCAGGCCTGGGGCAGAGCAGGACCCAGCCCATTTTCCATCCCAAAATTTCTTTTACCCCTTCTCCCTTTCTTACTCCCAGTTCTAGATGCTACGGGGTTGGAAAGAGACTTGGGCCAGTCCACACTGATCCAGCCCAGAGCTGCTCAGCCCCCAGATCATCCCCATTCTGCCTCACTCTTCTGGTTTTGTCCAACTGGCAAGTCAGGAGCCTGGGCTGGGCTGGGACCCAGGGGTTGGGACATGGGTATGGACTGGATGTAGTAGTGACATACTACAGGAGGGAAACGGATTGGAATGAAGAACCAGGAGACAAGGACTGGAAGGAGGGGAATGAGAGGACTTGGACAGGAATGAGGAATGTGAGCTGGCATGGCAGACATAGGTGGGAGGTGGTGGGGACACAGGCTAGGTAGCTGTAGCCCCTGGATGACAGACTGGGGGGAAGTGTGTCACTGACACAAGGGAGGGCCAGTTGTGCTGGGGCCAGGTCAGCCAGAGATACCTTGGGCCCAGAGTAGTGGGGGAAGCCCAGGTAGAACCCAGCACTGCTGGCCTGTGCTCTGACCCTCAGGGCCTGGCCTCCTCCAGTCTCCTCTGACTTGGTCCACTGGGGGTAGATATGGCCCCTGCCCTAGAGGGTCAACACCAAACTCTTCACAACTGCATTTGGCCCCAGGTAATTATAGGGCTGTCAACAAGCTTGGCTATAAAAGGGTGGATGGACCAGCCCAGGAACCTGGGAGAACTCAATTGGCCAGGGGTCTCCACACCCCACCCTGCCTCTCCTCCTGACAGGCTGATGTTGGCTAGAGAATACTCAAACCTCACATACACGTAAATACACAAGTTTGCACACTCCAATTAATTCACACCCACTCACATAATCTCACAACCTTGTGACCCCACACAGTCAATCAAATTCACTGCTCAAGGAGAAGAGGTTGGAGGACAAGAATACTGAAGGGGCCTCAGAAAGGAAAGCAGAG